ACCTCAACTTGCTCTTTTCCTTCAGTTGTGTTCATCTGATGGAGGTTTTCACAGCTATCTTCTTGAAGTGTTCTCTATGTGGCTTTCTTTTTCTTTTTCAGTGGATATTAATTGTACAGAATAAAACCTCATAGCAATTACTGTGACTTTTGCAAATAATGCGAGTAACATGCTTTGATCCTGTACTCCTTGTTATTGTTTTGTTTAAAAAGAAGAAAAGAGAAATGCTGAGGCATGAGACATATTGAGTATAAGTTTATTATAAGGCCCGGCAGAATGGGGAGACTAAGAAGAGGAACAGGGTAATGGCTGACCACCATGGCCGGTTGCCAGAGAGAGAGCGCATAGGAGAGAGAGAGTAGAAAGGAAGCTGAGAGGAAACAGAGAGAGCGTAAATGGACAGGGACCTGTCTTTTAAAGGGGTCCTCTGCACCTGCGAGCAGACTTAGTTCCCATGGAGCCTTGGGCTGACCAGGGTACTGCCTGTTCCACCAGGTAACAGGGGCAGGCCAGCATAATGCCTGAACCTTTCACCCCTTCCTTTATTACTCTCCCTGGCCAACCCCTCACCCCTCTCTCTGATCCCTATCCTCTTCCCTAATAGTCTCCTAGTTTTGTGTTGTCTTTTTGTTCTGCATTCTGCTCAAAACAGAAAACACAATACTTGTCCTGGCTTATTTTGCTTAACAATGTTTCAGTTCCATCCATTTTTCTAGGAAGCAGTTTCATTTACAGATGAATACTCCTCCATTTGTAGTCATACACACACACACACACACACACACACACACACCACATTTTCTTTTTCCTCTCCTATCTACTTCCCTAACAGCTTACTGTGAATGGGGCTGCAATAAATATGGACATGCAGGTATGTTTGTGGTATGTTTGTTCCTTTAGGCATATACCCAGTAGTAGTAGTAGAGCTGGGTCATATGGTAGGTTTAGTTTTTTTTTTTTAAAGTAAATTTTCTACCGATTTCCATTACATTCCCACCAATACTGTATAGAGCTTCTCTCACCCCCTGTACCCTTACCATTTGATGACAGCAATTTGCACTTCAGAAAGATGGAATCTCAATGTAATTTTGATTCCCTGATAGCTAAAGATGCTGAACTTTTTTTCCCATTTTGTTTTGTTCAGACAGGGTCTCATTATGCTTCTGACTCCCGAGTGCCGGGGCTAAAGGCATGAGCCACCACCGCCCTGCTGGGGGCTCAATTTTTAAAAACAATTTATTTTTATTTGATGTGCATTAGTGTTTCACCTGCATATACATCTGTTGAGTGTGTCAGCTCCCCAGAACTGGAGTTACATTTGTGAGCTTCCATGTGGGTGCTGGGAATTGAATCCTGGTCCTCTGGAAGAGCAGTCAGTGCTCTTAACCACTGAGCCATCTCTTCAGCCCTCAATTTTTCTTTAGTTCTTTGTACACTCTGGCTATCAATCATCTGCGGAATAACCATAAGGATTTTCTCCTATTTTGCAATGTCTCTTTCTACTGTGTCTAGCTCCTGCCTTTTCTGGGTCTCTGCACACAGCCCCATCACCCTAAGGTCCTAACTGCCTCACAATTCTCACCTGATCTTGTCTCTCCCATTTCTTTCTCTTTTCATTCATCTTTTTCTTCATTTCAAACTTAAGATTTTAGCAGCACAAAATCCCGTTTGTAGAGTACCGGCTCCCACCAAGCCTTGGAATCTGGGCCTGCTCTTTTGCACAGAAACTGGGCAATGTCCTCTCTGGGCTGCTCCATCTAGCCAGAAGACAGAGTCGAATGTTCCCAAGTGCAGTCAAGCCACTGAGAATCAATTCCAAGTTGCAAAGGTCAAGCTGCACCCTGGTGGTGGAAACTGGGAACTGGATCCTACGGTTAGAGAAGGTACACCTGCTGGAGTGTGGCTGTGCCCCAGGGGACTAATACTTTTAAGGGTGAGGGGCGAGGCTTGATGCCAGTCCAGATCAAATCTGAAGGCTGGCAAAATCCAGGCAATTAGTAAGGGGCCTGTTGAAGCAAGGCCTAGAGAGATACTCAGGAAGGGTTTATAATAGTCTTAGGGAACACAGAAAGATGGGAAGTGGGTGGGGCCTGGACCCCGCCCTTCGGGGGAATTCAGCATGTGAAACCCCAGCAGGTGGCAAGCTTAGATCTACACAGGGGGTTTGTTCCCCAAAGGCTGGAGGGCCTGGGCCAGTGTGTGTGTGTGTGTGTGTGTGTGTGGGGTGCACCACAGGAGCCCGGATACTATGGATACGATGGAACATTATCCATCAGAGCTCTGCAGCTGGAGTTCTCAGCTCAAGAATGGCTGCATGGCTGGGTTCTGCAAATCTGCAAACCCCAACCCATCTTGCCCTTCCCAGGGCAGTCCCTAGAGTGGCTGTGCATGGCTAGGTGCTGAGTTGTTTGAGCAGGAGGTGTCGCAGTTGTCATTAGTGAGGGCCACCAGGCTCTTGTTGGGACTTTCAGAGGCCCTAGGGACTGCACCTTTGTCCCCAAGTGCACCAGCTTTATATGAAAGGATGTTTCCATCTACTTGCAGTGACTTGTATTTATATATCATCCACGAGCCCATTTGCACTGCTGCAGTCACAGTGGAAAACGAACCCAGTTCTCTGGAAATTTCTGTGCCTCCATATGGCATTTGGACCCTAATAGAGACAATGTCTATTCACTTAGGGGTTTGCACAGAATGACAGAACTTGGGAGATGTCCATCAAGGAAACCTTTCCAATACCTCTCCTCTCCCCAAATAAGACTCATTTTTGGATATACTGTGGTCACCCTTAAAAAAGCCAATAACTGGCAGACTGGTGGTGCACACCTTTAATCCCAGCACTCAGGAGGTGGAGGCAGGCGGATCTCTGAGTTCAAGGCCAGCCTGGTCTACAGAGTGAATTCCAGGACAGCCAGGACTACACAGAGAAACCCTGTCTCGAAACAAGAGCAGCAACAAAAAACAAAAACAAAAACAAAACCTAACAACTGAATTGCCATAGAGCCTTACTACCTGAATTCGATCCTGGAAACCAATATGGTGAAAGGAAACCAACCCTGGAAAGCTGTCCTCTAACCTGTAAATGTGTACCTCCCCCCAATAATTTTGTGTCCCCCCCCCCAGACAGGGTTTCTCTGTATTGTTTTTGGACCCTGTCCTGGATTTTGCTTTGTAGACCAGGCTAGCCTCGAACTCACAGAGATCCGCCTGCCTCTGCCTCCCGAGTGCTGGGATTAAAGGTGTGCGCCACTAACACCTGGCTAATTTAGTCTTTTAAAAAAATTGTGAGTTTAGCACTTGGGAGGTAGAAGGATTAGGAGTTCAAGGTGAGTCGAGGCTATACTAATGAGAACCTGTCTAAAAACAAAACAGAACTGGTATGGTGGCATACAGCTGTGATCACAGCACTTAGAAGCTAAGGCAGGAGGATCAGTTTACAAGACAAGCCACTGTTACATAGCAAATCTCGGAGGCCAGCCTGGGCTACTTGAGTCCCTGTCTTGAAAAACAAACAGCAAGGTTTAGAAGCACAGGCCTTTAACCCAGAACTCTGGAGGCAGAATACAGGCAGATCTCTTGAGTTCAAGGCCAGTCTGGTGTACAAAGCAATTTCCAGGACAGTCAGGTCCCCTGTCTCAAAAAACAAACAAAAGAGCATGAAGTGAAATAGGGAGGTGGAGAAGATCTGGAAGGATTGGAAAATATTACCAAAATATATTATGCAAACATGTAAATGAGAAATAATTTAAAATGTACTTAAAGACAGTAACAAAGAACAGCAAATGTAAAAAATGCAGACACCACCAAGCACAAGAAGTGACAGGAGACTAACACAGGGCACCTTTTTATGAGAAAGCAGTCTCCCTGATGCCTGGACCTTAATCCCAGACATCCCAGAGCTGTTATAAGGACACATGGAATTTTTTTTGGTTTTTTGAGACAGGGTTTCTCTGTATTGCTTTAGAGGCTGTCCTGGCACACGCTCTGTAGACCATGCTGGCCTCGAACTCATGGAGATCCACCTGCCTCTGCCTCCCCAGTGGGAGTGCTGGGATTAAAGGCGTGTGCCACCAATACCAGGCTGGAATTTTTGTTTTGTTTTTTGAGACAGAGTTTCTCTGTGTAGCCCTGGCTGTCCTGGAACTCACTTTGTAGAGCAGGCTGGTCTCGAACTCAGATTCTCCTGCCTCCTCTGCCTCCGAAGTGCTGGGATTAAAGGTGTGAATCAGCATTGCCTGGCTGGATTGGAATTTTTAACAATAGAATCAATGCCTTTCAGAAAAGGCTTTTTTAAGGCTAGTTTCCCAGTCTCTAAAAGGGAGTACTTATGCATGGCATCTATAAGGATCCAGGAATCCCTGAGTTCCTGAGTTTTCTTCCCCAATCCTGTTCCTGTTTGCTAGATGTATAATTTGGCCTGTAAATATGCTTAATCATGTGCTTTGGGGGGGTTCGAGACACGGTTTCTCTGTAGCTGTGGAGCCTGTTCTGGAACTGGCTCTGTAGACCAGGCTGGCCTTGAACTCACAGAGATCCGCCTGCCTCTGTCTCCTAAGTGCTGGGATCAAAGGCATGAGCCACAAATGCCAGGCAATCATGTGCCTAATTAGTCTTTTTTGTTGTTTTTCAAGACAAGGTTTCTCTGTGGCCTTGGAGGCTGTCCTGGAACTCGCACTGTAGACCAGGCTGGCCTGGAAATCACAGAGATCCACCTGCCTCTGCCTCCTGAGTGCTGGGATTAAAGGCATGTGCCACTACTGCCCAGCTCCTAATTTGTATTTTGTGTATCTTACTTCCCTTGCTCATTCATTCTGTAACCCTCTACTAGAAGCTGGGTATGGTAGCATCACACAAGTTCAAGTGAGACCTTGCTTCTTTCCCCTACTACCCCACAAAAACTCCTTACTAGAACCCGTTCACTGAGGAATGTCCAGTCCTAGAATCCCAAGCCCCTTCTCCTGAGGGGAGGGTCGTCTGGATGACTAAAAAGTACATACACAGAAATTTCAAAACTGGCTTTAAACGTTCATCAGGGTGCCACATGGAGGATCTGGAATGAGATACTGTTACATGTGTGAGGCTGGGGTGCCCTGAGAGACAAAAAAGGGGACCAAGTGACAAGGCTGCTGGGGTGCCCCCACCCCTACCACAGAACAAGGGAGTAGAATAGAGGCCCTCTCTGGAGAGTTTCAGGGTTATGTAGGAGCCAGTCCTCCCTTGGAGGTAGATCATCCGGGAGGAAACTGAGGAGTAGCTCCACGGTGGCAGGGGCAGGCAGCGGCTTCCTCAATGGTACTGCTGGTAGTTGGGATAACCTGGGGCTGGAGCTCCCTCTTTAGGGGTTAGCTGGTTGGGGTCCTCCAAGAATGGGGGTGCTGGAGAAGGGAGAATGAGATAAGGAGGTGAGGAAGAGTGGAGAAGGCTTCCTGACTCTCCCTGATCATTGCCCACCAGGTCCTCACCATTGCGGAACTGCTGGGCAGTATAGCGAGTGAGAAGGATGCCAACACCCTCGATGAGGGCCAACAGGATGCCCCCCATCATTGCAGAGCCCACCATGGCCAGCGGACCACCTGGGAAGCAGAAAGAGACAGCTGAGGAAAGGCAGGCAGAACAGGGAAAGGACTGGGGCTGGGGGTTAGAGGTACTCACTGCGTGCAGCCAGCACTGCTCCAGTCAACGCTCCACTGGTGATGGAGTTCCAGGGGTCTTCCTTGCCTCGAAGTCTTACAAGGCCACAGTCAATGGTAGAAAACAGGCCTCCCCACACTGCAAAGCTACCTGTAAGGGGACAGAGCCCTAATCAGTGAGTCCTAGAAATTCTGAGACTCTCTATATCTCAACATCTGGGAACTTCCAAGGTCTGAAAAGTGGCCAAGAAAGAGGTAGCTGGGACATAGCTCAGTGACAGAGTGTCTAGGGTAATTCCCAGCAAACACACACACATACACCCATTACTGGTATAATCCCAGTACCTAAGAGGCTCAGGCAGAAGGCCTACAGAGTTAGACTCCCATGGAGTGATGGCCTGTCTCAAAAAAAGTGGGTTGGGAGAGTCACATAGCCTGTAGAAAGCCATGGGTTACAATCTGAGCTCCAATACAAGAGGGAAGAAAGTCCAGACATAGACAGGTGGGGACACCTACGGAACACTCCATTTTTCCCACTGTGAAGAGTTTCTCATTTAATTAGGTCTATAGTTATCATCAAAATCATTTTTAGCTGATAAATGGATACAAGCAGATTAACCTTCCATACAGCTTTCAATGAAGCAATTTCCATCCTTTAAATTATCAAATGGAGTTGGAATTCTGGTTTTGATTTCAGGGAGAAGGAAAACAGGCCAGGAAACAATATATATAGTGTTCTGGCATAATCTAGAAATCCAAAATGCTTCAAAACCTATAACTTTATAAGCATGGTCATGATTCCAGTAACAGAAAATTCCATAGCTGACCTCATGTGAAATGAAACAGTAAAAATGCAGGAGAATGCTGGCTAGTGGTGGGGCTCGCCTTTAATCCCAGCACTTGAGAGGCAAAGGCAGGTGGATCTCAGTGAATTTGAGGCCAGCCTGGTCTACAGAGTGAGTTCCAGGACAGCCAGGGGTACACAAAGAAACCCTGTCTCAAAAAATCAAAACACAAACAAGCAGACAAAGCATGAGGTATTCAGCTGTAGTTCTAGCTACGTGGAACACCAAGGAGCTGCAGAAGGCAAGATCACTTGAGCCTAATAGTTTGAAACCAATCTGGACAACATAGAAAGATCTCTCTAGGGCTGGAGAGATGGCTCAGAGGTTAAGAGCATTGACTTCTCTTCCAGAGGTCCTGAGTTCAATTCCCAGCAACCACATGGTGGCTCACAACCATCCATTATGAGATCTGGTGCCCTCTTCTGGTGTGCAGATATACATGGAAGCAGAATGTTGTATACATAATAAATAAATAAAATCTTTAAAAAAAATGAAGATCCCTCTAAACTGGGCGGTAGTGGCACACACCTTTAATCCCAGCACTCAGGAGGCAGAGGCAGGCCGATCTCTGTGAGTTCGAGGCCAGCCTGGTCTAAAAGAGCTAGTTCCAGGACAGCCTCCAAAGCCATAGAGAAACCCTGTCTCAGAAAAAACAAAGATCCCTCTACAGTCTGGTCTACAGAGTGAATTCCAGGACTGGCCCCATAGCTACTGAGAAACCCTGTCTTGAAAACAAACAAAAAATAAAGGAAAGATCCCTCTATTTGTTTTTGTTTTGTTTTGTTGGAGGTAGTGGGGAATGGAACTGAGGGTTTCATACATATCAGTCAAGTATTTCATCACTGAGGTATATCCTCAGCCCTGAGACCTCCATCTCTCCCTCTTTTTTGAGACAGTATCTCATGTAGTCAAGGCTGGCCTCAAAACTTGTCATGTAACCAAGGATAATCTGGAAGTTCGGATCCTTCTGTCTCCATCTCTCAAATGCCAAGATTACAAGTGGGCACCAATATACCCAGTTTTTATGAAGAGCTGGGGAGTGAACCCAGGACTTTGTGCTGCTAGGTAAATACTCTACGAACTAAACTATATTCCCAGTCTGGAGACTCCAACTGTTCATTAAAAAAGAAATATACAGTGCCAGGAATCTGTTTTACTGATAGAGCACTTGCCTAGCATGCTCAATCCATTCCTACTATAAAACAAGAAATATGTTTTTTTTAAAGATTTTATTTATTTAATATGTATACAACATTCTGCTTCCATGTGTATCTGCACACCAGAAGAGGGCACCAGATCTCATAATGGATGGTTGTGAGCCACCATGTGGTTGCTGGGAATTGAACTCAGGACCTCTGGAAGAGCAGTTGGTGCTCTTAACCTCTGAGCCATCTTTCCAGCCCCAAAATATGTTTTTTTAATTTTATTTATTTTATATTTTTATGGATGGTTGTGAGCCACCATGTGGTTGCTGGGAATTGAACTCAGGACCTCTGGAAGAGCAGCCAGTGCTCTTTAACTGCTGAGCCATCTCTCCAGCCCCTACATATATGTTTATACTGTATAAAATAGCACTTTAAGGCTAGAGACAAAATTGATGGTAGAGTGCTTGCCTACCATGCTGGAGGTCATCGGTTCAACTCCAAGTACCTCAAAATAAATAAATTAATTTTAAAAAGAGCTGAGCTTGGCTCACATCTGTAATCTTAGCACCTGAGAGACTGAGGCAAAAGGATTACCTTGATTTTGAAGCTAGCCTGGGCTACAGAGTGAGACGTGTTTCAAGAAACAAAGATATTCAAGATACGTAAGTAAGATGTATACAAACACAAGTGAATTTTGTGTTTAGACTTGGGTCTCATTTCTAAAATATCTTACTATGCATATGCAAATACTAAAAAGTCCAAAATCTTCCCAAATGTGAAACACTTCTGGTCTTATGCATTTTGGATAGGAATACTCAACCTGTAGTTTAAATGTTGAGGGCTTACTGTGTTCTTGTGCTTATTTGAGGAACTCTGTGTTAGTTGGCTTCTGCAACTTTAAATTAGTTAATATAATCAAAAGGTTCAGCATAGTAACTAGCACTTAGTAAAATACTATGTGAATTGATTTTAAAACCACCTATTGAGCTGTCAACGCTAGTATTATCGCTAGTTTGGAGGAAGTATGCTACTAGCGGTCACCTAATAGGGAAGAGTCAGGATCTAAATTTCAGCTGCAGAATACTGCAAGCTTGGTGGTGCACACCTTTAATCCCAGCACTCTGGAAGCAGAGGCAAGTGGATATCTGTGAGTTCAAGGCCAGTCTGGTCTACAAAGCTACACAGAGAAACCCTGTCTCTAAAAACCAAAAAAAAAAAAAGGGGCGGCAGGGAAGGCTCAGGGGTTAAGAGCACTGCCTGTTCTTCCAGAGGTCCTGAGTTCAATTCCCAACAACCACATGGTGGCTCCCAACCATCTGTAATGTAGTCTGGTACCCTCTTCTGGACTGCAGGGATATATGCAGGCAGAACACTGTATACATAATAAATAAATAAATAAATAAATCTTAAAAAAGAGATTCTGGACCTCTAACTTATAGTGTAGCCTCAAAGGATCAACTAAGGTAGTCAAAGTTGCTACCATGTCTTTATGCTCCCCCAATCTTCTCACCTCCAATCTGGGGTGCTCTAATCCTCACGGCATTGATACTGCCTCTGAAGCGGTGTCGTATTCCCTGGAGAAAGCAAGGAAAGGTGTCAGGGTAGGGGTAAGACCACTGGCAAGGCAGGGTTTCTGCCCTATATAAGAAGGGGCACTGGGAGGCTTAGTGTTAGAGCACTTGCCTAGAATGTGCAAGGCCCAGGGTTCTTCTACTCGAACCATGGCAACAAAGAAGAGAAGGCATGGGAAAGCTGTTAGAAGCATAGCAGCAGCCGGGCGTTGGTGGTGCACACCTTTAATCCCAGCACTCGGGAGGCAGAGGCAGAGGCAGGTGGATCTCTGTGTGAGTTCGAGGCCAGCCTGGTCTCCAGAGCGAGTCCCAGGACAGGCTCCAAAGCTACACAAAAAAAAAAAAAAAAAAAAAAAAAAAAAAAAAAAACTAAAAACAAAAAAAAGGAAGCAAAGCAGCAGCCAGAGAACCAGGAGAACCGGGAATAAATCCAACAAAGGTTTTCTTAGAGTGGGGTTGCTAAGCTTTATTAATTCCTTCACTCATTCATTCAATAAGCAGTGATCAGGTCCTGTGTGTCAGGCTTCATCCTAAATGCAGGGTACAACAAGGGCCAAGTTCCCTGCTCTCTCAGAGTCAGTGTACACAGTAGTGGCAGAGACAGATTGTAAGCAAGTAAGCAAGACAGCTTCAGACAGCAAAATGTATGAAAGAATAGTGGCTCTCAACCTGTGGCTTGCCACCCCTTTGGGATCCACAGGGGTCACCTAAGACCATCAGAAAACATTTACAGTACGATTCATAACTAGCAAAAATTACAGTTAGGAAGTAGCAATGAAATAATGTTATGGTTGGGGGGGCATCACAACATGAGAACTGCATTAAAGGGTCACAGCATTAGGAAGGTTGAGAACCACTGCATCAAAGCCTTGCCTACTTTGAGTTCAGTCTCTCTGCTTCATGATTGCCATTGAGGATGTGAGCTCTTAGCTTCTTGCTTTGGCAGCCATGCTCCTTGTTGCCATGCCTCCCCATCACAATGGACTCTTATCTCTCTGGAGCTCTAAGCCCAAATAAACTCTTTCTTCTATAAATTGCCTTGGTCAAAGATTTTATTTTAACAACAGAAAAGTAACTAATATATTCCAAAAAGGCTCACACCTATTTCATAGAGGAACAGGAACCCTGTCCATCTTTAAGAGTCTCAATAGTCTAAGCCCAGTTGTCTTCAAGATTCAAGGCAGTCTTTAGGTATGGGGCTTTGCAAAAATAAAAAATAACCAAGTTATGTTGGTTGTTGGTGGCACATGCCTTTAATCCCAGCCCTAGGGAGACTGATTTCTGTGAGTTTGAGGCCAGCGTGGTCTACAGAGCGAGTTCCAGGACATCCAGGGCCCCACAGAGAAACACAAAAAACAAAAAAAAAAAAAAAAAGAGTACACAAATACTTGAGTAAGATACACATGACTAAGATACTGAGTCCTTTGTATTTGCTAAGGAGTGGTATAGCTGGATCACATGACAGATTTCTTTTTAGCTCTTTGAGAATTCAAAGATTCTGATTTCCACCAATCCCACTAACGCTGAATAAGGGAATCTCTCTCTCCTTTTTCTTTCTTTCTTTTTTGTTATTTCGAGATAGGGTTTCTCAGTGTAACAGCCCTGGCTGTCCTGGAACTCACTCTGTAGACCAGGCTGCCCTTGAACTCACAGAGGTCCACCTGCCTCTGCCTCCTGAGTGCTGGGATTAAAGGCTTGTACCACCACCCAGCAGGAAGTTATGTCTTACTCCTCATCCCCTCCAGCATTTGTTGACAGCCATTCTGACTGGAGTAAATGAAATCTTAGTCTTAATTTGCATTGCCTAATTTGCTAAGGATGTTAAAAGCTTTTTGAGGTATTTCTTAAGCTATTTTTATTTTTTCTTTTGAGAACTCTCTGATCCATACCCCTTCCCTTTTTTGTTTTTCGACAAGGTCCCGGATACTGAGAACTCACTATGTAGACCAGGGTGGCCTCAAAGGTGTTTGTGTGCGTGCGTGCGTGCGTGCGTGCGTGCGTGTGTGTGTCTTATATACACAGGAATGTGCAGGAGTGTGAACATGTGGAGGTCAGAGAAGAACGTTAGGGTCTTCTATTGCTTTTCTTCTTGAGACAGGGTCTTTAACAGAACCACAAGCTCCACTTGCAGCTAGGCTGACAGGCCAGCAAGCTCATGGGATACACCTGTCTTATGCCTCACCCCTTCTAATGCTGGGGTTATAGGCACAGGCAGCCATGCCTGACTTTTGACATAGGTGCTGGGGAATCAAACTCAGGTTCTCATGCTTACAAAGCCAAGTACTCTTAGCCACTGAGACTTATCTCCAGCCCTTCCCCATAATTGCTTTTTTTGTTTTTTCAAGACAGGGTTTCTCTAGGTTTGGAGACTGTCTTGGAACTTTCTCTGAAGACCAGGCTGGCCTGGAACTCACAGAGATACCCCAGCCTCTGCCTCCCAAGTGCTGGGATTAAAGGTGTGCACCACTATCACTCAGCTCATAATTGCTTTTACAACAGTGACATCTAATGAGATCTCCAAGGGTAGGGAGCTTCAGGGACAAGGTAGAATTATATTAAAAGGGCCCCCCAATTCAATTTAAAGGCTGTTCTCTCTGTCAAACTACTGTCATTTTTCTATATAGAGGATTTTAACCCAGAGTCTGTTTTGAGGTAAAATCATGCCAGGCAGTGGTGGCGAATGCCTAAAGTCCCAGCACTCAGGAGGCAGAGGCAGGAAGATCTCTGTGAGTCCCAGGCCAGGCTGGTCTTCAAAGAAAGTTCTGGGACAGTCTCCAAACCTACAGAGAAACCCTGTCTTGAAAAAACAAAAAAAGTGTCCTGTTTTGAGGTAAAATCTATGTTGCATACACATTTAAGATTTTATACTAGCCTTTTTCTTTTTTATTCTGCTGCTAAGGAATGAACCAACTACTCTACCACTGAGTTATATACTTGCTTCGAACAATCTTTGTATACTATAAATGTTATTACTCTCATTGTTAATAAAAAGCTGATTGGACTATGGATGGGCAGGATTTTCAGGACGGAAAGAATGCTGGGAAGGAGGGTGGAGTGAGAGGAGTCACCAGCCAGTTGGAGAGGAAGCAGGACATGCAGGAGAGGTAAAAGCCATGAGCCACAGATTAATAGAAATGGGTTAATTTAAGTTGTAAGAGCTAGTTAGTAACACGCCTGAATTATTATTATTATTACTTTTATTGGTTTTTCGAGACAGGGTTTCTCTGTGTAGCTTTGGAGCCTATCCTGGCACTCACTCTGAAGACCAGGCTGGCCTCGAACTCACAGAGATCTGCCTGCCTCTGCCTCCCGAGTGCTGGGATTAAAGGCATGCACCACCACTGCCTGGCTCACACCTGAATTATTGGCCAAGCATTTATAATTAACAATAAGTCTGAATGGTTAATTGGGAAGCAGCTGTCGAAACAGCTGATCAGAGTCCCTACAAAAACTCCACCTACATATGCTTCTAGCTCCTAAGACTGTTTCTGACAGTACAGCATTTCCATGGAGCTCCAGCTAGATAGTTGAAGAACAGAGGTACGCAAATCATAGGGCCAGGAGCCAATAGTAGGTGAATGTGTAGTAGTAGGTGAATGAATGTGTTTTCAGAACAGTATTCTATGTCAGTAAGACTGCAGACTCCCACACCACCAAGGAAGGCCCAACTCACAACGGGGGCATTACGAAAGCCCTTGATAGCCTGGAAGACTCCACCACCAATGACACCCATAGTGAAGGCTCCACCGCAATCATCCACAATTCGCCATGGGCTGCAAGCAGGAAGGAAAAGATAGAGTTACTGTGAGACTCTGCCCTGCCAAGCCTGGACTCTTTGGAACTTGGAGAACCAAAATAGGAAGGTCATGACTGATAAGAAACACCTCAGATAATAACAAATCAGTTCTTTTTTTTTGTTTGTTTGTTTTTTTGAGACAGGGTTTCTCTGTGTAGCTTTGAAGCCTATCCTGGCACTTGCTCTGTCGCCCAGGTTGGCCTCAAACTCATAGACATCTGCCTGCCTCTACCTCCTGAGTGCTGGGATTAAAGGCTGGCACCACCACCACCACCACCACCACCACCAGGCAGTTCTGTCAATTTTTAATATGACCCATAAAGCCAGAAAGGAAAGCCAGGCATGGTTCTACATACCTGTAAGCACAATGCTTGGGAAGATGAGGCAGGAGGATCACAAGTTGGAGTCCAACCTGGGCTATGAATGGAGACCCTGTCCTAAAAAGAAAGTTTGTGCAGCCAGGCAGTGGTAGTGCACACCTTTAGTCCCAGTACTAGCATGGCAGAGGCAGGCAGATCTGAGTTCCAGGCCAGCCTGGTCTACAAAGAGAGTTCTAGGACAGCCAGGGATAGACAGAGAAACCCAGTCTTGAAAAACCAAAACCAAAAAGAGAAAAAGGTTTTCTGCTCTGAGCGTGGTGGCACATGCCTTTAATCCCAGCACTTGGGATGCAGAGGCAGGTTGATCTGTGTGTTTAAGGTCAGCCTAGTCAGAGTTCCAGGCCAGCCAGGGCTACACAGTGAGATCTTGGCTCAAAACAAACAAAACCAAAAACGTTTGTAAATCTGTCTATGGCGCAAAAGTGGGAAAACATTTTTTTTCTTTTTCTTTTTGAGAGTGAGGGAGGTGCCTCACTACATAGCCTTCCAAATGCTGGGCTTATTACTGGAAGAATATTGCTCTCGATTACAACTGAGCATCAATCCAACTGTTTTGTTGCTGTCAAAAATCAAATGGATTGATATGTACAAAGAGTTGGCAGGTTTCAACAGTGGTAACTACCTAATGTTATTTAAGTAAAGCAGAACAGGGTGGCACTCTGTTCCCCGAAGGGGTGGGGGGGGGGAGAAGCACGTCCAAGGAAGCCCCTGTACAGTGTCATTTTAAAATTTAAAACGGAAAAATCAAAAGCCATGAGGAAGCTCCAGGCCCCACCCCTTAACCCACAGTGGATTCATGAACATGCCCTAACCGGAGTCAAAAACCAGTCTGGGAAAGGCCACGAGAGGAAACTGTGGGTTTTGGCTCCACGCCTCTCCTCCCCCTCTGCCGGAATGGATTTGCCCAGCGTCTCTCTTTTGGCTCACAAAAAGTCTCTAGGAGAACAGTCAGGGGAAGAGTGAGGTGGTTTGTCCCACACCGCACCAACAGGGACACTCCACTGTGGCGGTTTTTAGCGAAGTCCGAGTGGGAGGAGCCAGGCCGGACGCGCCGAGGCAGTAAAGTTTCTAAGCCTCCCGAGTCAGGGACTTGACAGTGTAGCCGTTGCCTTCCCCGCCCGCCTCCCGTCGTTGGCCTGGGCTTCGCAGGGACTGTCCCGAAGCCTGTGCCCATCGCCGTACCAAGGTTCGCGAGCGTACTCCTCCATGGCGCCAGCGTCTGGCCTGGAGCAGACAGTCGCACAGACGAGCCACTCCCCCCCAGAAACGCCCACAAGAGCGGAGGCGTCTTACGTAGGCCAAGGAAACTATTGGTTTTCTTTGCTTACGTAAGATCAAAGACGTCCTCTTATTGGCTAGCCAGGCTGGCCACATCCGTTCACTGCAAGCCCTGGAGTCGACCAGTTAACTACACCTGGGGAGAGTGGGGAGCGTTTTGTGCTTTAAAAGAAGAGCCCTTCGATATTGGTAAGCATAGTGACAAAGAGGGAGAGGAGGACAGGGTGACAGACTTTGATTATCCGCATAGCTGCACTGCTAACGCCGAGGTGGAAGCTTTCTTTTAAAGCTGAAGATGGTGTTGGCATTTTTGCACCCCCATCCCAGCGCCTTGGTTCCTCCCACAGTGCTGACTTAGAGGGACGTTGGGTGATCCCATTTCTGGGTTGCGGGTGAGCTCCGCTTGGTCCCTCTGGCGATGGGTGGAGCCTTGGCCTGAAGAGGAACTGGGTCTTCGGTGCATCCGGTCCCCAGTGCCCCGGTCAGTAGAGTTCTGGTGGTACTAGTCCTCACCGTATTGCCACGTACTTCTTTCATCTTTTAGCACGCATTTTTTGTGCTGTCTTTCCAGCTGCTGGCGCAGTTAGGTAGGTGGGGGGTCAAATGAGCACATGCTGTAGTGTGACGCATGGTTACTGGATATCCTGATTGAAATGTTTATCGGATTTGCCCTTCACTGCCTTCTGTCGGTTCCTAGGTCTGGTCAGCAACCCGCAATGCCGCTCCCTGTTGCACTGCAGACCCGCTTGGCGAAGAGGGGCATCCTCAAACATCTGGAGCCCGGTGAGAAAGCTAATAGCATCTAATACCGTGTGTCAGTGTTAACAGATGTCTGTTATTCTGTTCTCTAGCTCCCCCACCTCTGCCCCTCGCCCTGTCGAACCCAAGGTGCATGCCGAGCAGGCGCTCTACCATCATCCTCAGCCCCAAAGCGCACACCCTTCCCCCCGCCCTTTGCGTTGCTGGGTTCAAATCCAAACTCTTGGATGTGCTGTACTATTGAGGTATATCTCCTTGATAGGCTTTATTGTTGATACTTGATACCTTGCATGGCCTGGAAGGCATCTCAATGTCACTTTACTGATACCCATTACTACTGCTTGGTAAGTACTGTGTGATGTGTAAGGCTGGTGAATAGAGTTTAATTTAACTCATGAATCAAGTGGACACGGTGACAAGTACCAATAGGATCACCTACTTAGGAGGACAATATACGAAGATGACTTGAGCCCAGGAGATCAAGGCCAGCCATGGCAACTTGCCCAAAACCCAGTCTTCAAAATAAAATAAAATAAAGCTAGCCAGGCATTGGTGGTGGACGCCTTTAATCCCAGCACTCCAGAGGTGGAGGCAGGCAGATCTCTTTCGGTTCAAGGCCAGCCTGGTTTACAGCATGAGTTCCAGGACAAGCTCCAAAGCCACAGAGAAACCCTGTCTCCAAAAAACAAAACCACACACACACACACACACACACACACACAGAGAGAGAGAGAGAGAGAGAGAGAGAGAGAGAGAGAGAGTGAGTGTTTTCCAGGACATCCAGGGCTGTTACACAGAGAAACCCTGTTTTGAAAAAGAGCATCTATAATCCCAGTACTGCAGAGACAGGCCAAAAGGATCACAGATGACAATCTGGTTTACACAGTGAATTTCAGGCCAGATATTTTTTTTCTTTTAAGCACACACTAGAAAATAATTAATAAGCCCAGAGTTGGTGGTCCACGCCTTTAATCCCAGCACTTGGGAGGCAGAGGCAGGTTGGATGTCTGTGAGTTCGAGGCCACACAGAGAAACCCTGTCTCGAAAAACCAAAAAAAAAGAAGAAAGAAAGAAAGAAAGAAAGAAAGAAAGGAAATAACTAAAATAAATGCAAAGGGGTGAGTACTTGGTATTTAAGTAATTAATGTTTTCGGCATGGTCTCACTCTGTAGTTCTGGCAGGCCAGGAACTCATTCTGTAGATCAGGCTGGCTTCGTAGTCCCAAAGATCTGCCTGTCTCTGCTTTCCTAATGCTGGGATTAAAGGTGTGCACTACCACACTAGGCCAGTATTTATTTAATAAGGATGATATATTCTGCAGTCTCCTAAGTTTCAAATACAGTGGCAAGGTGTTGATGACTTATAGTTTTTCCCAGAAGACGTACTGTGGTGATGGGCATGATAACCTATTAATATTTATTTTCGTCTACCTAAGTGCCTGGCACATGTATGTTTTTGTTTTTGGTTGGTTGGTTTTGGTTTTTGAGACAGGGTTTCTCTGTATTGCTCTGGAGCCTGCCCTGCCACTCACTCTGTAGACCAGGCAGGTCTTGAACTCACTGAGATCCACCTGCCTCTGCCTCCCAAGTGCTGGGATTAAAGGCAAGCGCCATCAACCCCTGGATGCACATGTTATGTTAATAGTCTAAAATGATCATCTATCAATTAGGCTTACTGTATTAGTAGTTGCTAACTACACATTATTGACAATAATAATAATAAAGTCTGCCATGAGTTTTGACCTATATGGTATGTTAGGCACTGGAAAGTGCATCATTTGGAAAACTGACATCTATTATAGACTACTTTGGGCCAGCCATAGACTTTGTGCATAATAGTGCTAATACTTTTTTGTTATTATTATAATACTTTTTTATTATTTTTATTCTTTTTTCTTTGGTGGTGGTGCTAGGGTATGAATCCAGGTTTCAGGCAAACCCCATATCATTAGTGTTGAAGTCTTTTGAGTATTGAGCCCACTGTTGGTAGTATATATCTTATTAGCAATAGCAATATGGACGATCATACCTGACACTTCTTTTGGTGTCACTGTGCTGTTTTGTGCATTTTTTTGTTTGTTTTTTTGAGACAGGATTTCTCTGTGTAGCCCTGGCTGTCCTGGAACTTGATTTGTAGACCAGGCTGGTCTTTTTTGTTTGTTTGTTTGTTTTAGAGGCAGGGTTTCTCTGTGGCTTTGGAGGCTGTCTTGGAACTAGCTCTTGTAGACCAGGCTGGTCTCAAACTCACAGAGATCCACCTGCCCCTGCCTCCCGAGCTCTGGGATTAGAGGTGTGGCCACTGCCAATTGTTGTGGCAAGTGTTTTATTGTTAATTATAACCACAGCTGAAATGTTATGGGCCTACTGCTTGCCAGGCAATGGGCTGATAATAGACACCATTTTTATTCTACTATCACCAGACATCCTGCTGTAGGGTTATTATATGTCAGCCCTTAGGTGTAGATTCAGAACAATGTTTGGATTAATTCCTTGCTGTACATGACCCAGAAACCCATCACTGTTCAGAAAGTGAATAGATGAGCCACGATTTTTAGATAAACCCCCTGCTATTCAAACCCATTTCATTTGAATAGGTTTTGATGATACAGGGCCACATGGTATCTGAACTCGGGAGTTGGTTAATTTTTGAAGATTCTCCATCAATCCCCAACATACACCTCTATGTCTTTCACATACAGTGGTGTAGATGTGAGTGTAGGAAGAGAACCCCAGGTCTTAAAGTGCTTCTCTGTTTCCCCATTCTTCCAGAGCCAGAGGAAGAGATCATTGCTGAGGACTATGATGATGACCCTGTTGACTATGAGGCCACCCGGATAGAGGGTCTGCCACCCAGCTGGTACAAGGTCTTTGACCCTTCTTGGTGAGCCTACCAACAAGAGGCAGGAGGGACAGCTGGCTTTTCCCTGCCTGTGTTATTCCCTTATTGTGGGGTCAGTGAGGGAAGAGATCTGCATATGGAGCCATGGAGCAGATCTAAACAGAGGTTGGGGAGACAGTTGGTCTAAGGGACATCTGTGCTGACACTTCCTTCCTTCCCCCTCATTGTCCACAGTGGACTCCCTTACTACTGGAATGTGGAGACAGACCTCGTGTCATGGCTCTCACCACATGACCCCAACTTTGTCGTTTCCAAATCTGCCAAGAAACTCAGGAACAGTAATGCAGGTGAGTTGGAAGATCTAAGAGTGTCTCAGTGATTCTTGCAGTCTCAGAGAGGGGCTGAGGAGACCATATGTATAAGAGAGTGGCTTCAGGACTTTGTGTTACCACAGATGCTGAGGACAAGTTGGACCGGAATCATGAGAAGGTGGATAGAAATCATGAGAAGTCAGACCGAAGTCACGAGAAGCCAGATAGGAACCATGACAAGGCAGACAGAAACCATGATAAGTCTGACCGGGATCGAGAGCGGAGCTATGACAAAGTGGACAGAGAGAGAGATCGGGACAGGGAACGAGATCGGGACCGTGGGTATGAGAAGGCAGACCGGGAAGATGGTAAAGACCGGCGCCACCATCGCAGAGAGGAGCTGGCTCCTTACCCCAAGAGCAAGAAGGGTAAGCAGATCAGGTTGGGATGTGGATGAGTCAAGTGAGGTACCAGGGCACAGAATGTGAGGAATGCTTGCTTAGACCTGGGCTCCTAGAGAATGATGCTGTGGGCCATGGTAGCCACTGGCACTTCTTCCTGGGAGAAAGGGCTTAGTGATCAGGGAGGGGCTCCTTGGGTCTCATGTGAAGAATTTGACTAGCTACTCATCTCTGTAGCGGTGAGCCGGAAAGATGAAGAATTAGACCCTATGGACCCCAGCTCATATTCCGATGCACCCCGGTAAGTGAAACCCCCTGCCAATCCTGTTGTTTCATGGTTGTCACTGTACCTGTGAACAGTACCCTTCTCTTGTATCTTCCCATTCTTTAATCTGGTGGGGGGTGTTTACTACACCCTTTTCCTATCCTCTAATTCTCTGTTGTCCCCAGGGGCACATGGTCAACAGGGCTACCCAAGAGAAATGAGGCCAAGACAGGTGCTGACACAACAGCAGCTGGACCCCTCTTCCAGCAGCGCCCATACCCCTCCCCGGGGGCTGTGCTCCGCGCCAATGCTGAGGCCTCCCGAACCAAACAGCAGGACTGAACGTTTGTTCCATGGAGCTTTGGCAGTTTGCCTTTCTTTCTTCCTTGTGGCTCTGGAGATAGGGCTCAAAGCTTTGCATATGCTGAATAATTATTTCACAAATGAGCTACACTCCCAGCCCCCTTATTGTTTTTAATAAAAGCTTTTTTTTTTTTTTTGCATCATATCCACGAGGCGTGTGTGCTTCCTTCTTCATTCTTTCCAGGCTTTTCAACCCAGTTGACAAGATGCAAAATACATTTTATTTGCAGAAACTTACCTAAGAAATACTGCAAAGATAGCAGGAGTTCAGGTGGGTCCATTAACAGAGGTTAGTCATGGCAGCCCTATGTGGGGCAGGGTTGGTGGGGACAGGCAATTCCCATGTCTCCCTCACCCTACCCCTAATACTGATAAGAGTTTAGTCCCAGCTGGGCCAGGGCAAGAGAGGGAGAACGAAGGCAGGCCAGTGTCTTCAATTCCAGCAGCTACGAACCCTTCACCTTGGTGAGCAACCTGTGGTGGAAATGGGAAGGAAAGAGAAACACAGAAAGCTGGGCTGGGCTGGCAGGTGGGTTTCCTGAGCAAGCGAGGGTGGTAGTAAGTAGTAAGCTAGAAATCCTGTTAAAGTCAATGGTGCTTATGTGGAGAGAGCAGGCCCCTGGGTCAGAAAGCTACACATGGACTAAATAAATACATCATCTTTATTTGGCATTGGGTATCCTGACATATGTTCATTACAGTGCCTTAGAAAACAACACCCCCCCCCAAAAAAAAAACAGACCAAATTAATCAAAAATAAAGATCCAATGGTCCTATTTACATATAGCAAAGACAGCCCAGGCACCTTCCATGCGTGCATTTATGCACACACGTGTGCTCGCTCACACATACACACACACATCTGGGATACAGTTAAGGAGTTAGTAAGCTTTGGGGAGCGCAGGGGTGCAGGTTCCACAATTCATCAATTCTGACACCCGCCATGAAGTAAGGGTGTTTTAAAACAGCCAATGGGGCTGCGAGAGTGGACTGGCAGCTTTATTTTTCCTCTCTGGATGTCTCAGAAGATAATCCTTCATCTCTGTCTCTCCAATTACACAAGACTCAGCCACTTCAAAGACCTCCCCTCCCCATTTTGCCAACACTCTGGATCATTAACCTGATATCACAAATGCCCGACATATTGAAAAGTAAATGGTGCTTATTGCACTTCCCCCATGAAGAGCTGATGCCAAATTCTCAGCTTGTGCCTCTCTCCTCACTCCGGGCACTTACAACAGGCCGATCTTCAAGGGTATCTGTACCAGGGAAACTGCCCCAAAGCCACAGCAGAGCCCAAGCTGCAGACATGATCCAGGGTGATGGTGCAGGAGAGAAGGCCTCACACAATAGGAAATGGAACCCCACGAGTAGTTCATTAGTCGTTACTGAAGAACTGCTGGGCTTTTGTCCAGTCTGCAGGATGGCTGGGATGAACTGTCCCAGGCATGAGAGACAGGACATCTCCAGCAAAGGGTTATGGGGGAAAGCCTGGAATAGTGGTACCCCAACCCTGTTCCCAAAGAGGTTAGCCTGGGGCAGAGGAAGCAGCTCCTTCAGGAAAGGGGAGTCCATGTGACATTCAGCCCTAGCTCCATATCCATGTGACATTCAGCCCTAGCTCCATATCCCTCTAGAAGTGTGGGAGAAAAAAAAAAACCCTCCAACCCCACAAGTCAGGCTCTCGCCATAACTTTGGACCTGCAGAAACCCAACCTCTGCAAACCCAGGCCCCTACCCTGGCTCCCCCACCACCAGCTCTCACTTCACCAGCACTGACTTTGGCAGAAAGGGCTCCGTGATGAGGTCTCCTCGAGAAGACAGCTGCGGTGGTGGTGGTGGCTGCCCAGGAGGCTGCTGGTGAATGCAGGGCCCAGAGGCAGAGGCAGAGGCAGAGGCAGAAGTTATGGCTTTGACTGCACTTCGGGGAAGGCTGTAGAGGTAGACGGCACCAATGACGAGCCCAGCGCCCAGGGCAAATAATGGGTCCAGGTGAAAGCCAAAGAGGCGAATGGAGGCAACAGTGGACAGCACAATAGACAGGGAGGTGGCAAAGCCCTTGAGGATGTTGTCAGCGTACTTGACTACAACAGCCACCAGTAGCCCACCAAAGGCTTGGTTTAGTACCACCCCCCAGACAGCAGGCGTGTATCCAAAGAAGAAGCCTCGACGGGCCACAGCAGTGCCTTCAGCCCACCAGAGCCCCACCAGGCCCAGTGCTGTGCCAAAGAGGCCTAGTTGGAGGTTACGCAGCCACACAGAACCTGAGCTGCCTTTGAGGATCTTCTCAAAGTATACCCCTGCAAAGCCTGAGGAGAGACAGGAGGCCACCACAGCTGCTAGTCCGGCCCCGGGATTCTGATCTAGTGGCCGTGGGCCACCCCCACCAGCTTGCTGTGCCTGGACAATCGCCACACCAGTGAAGAGCAGCAGCAGGGAGGCCCACTGCAGGCGTGAGAGGCTGCGGTTCAACATGAGCACGGAGAACAGTGCTGTAGTCAGGATCTTGAGCTGATATGTCACCTGTAAGTTGCATATGGAAGGCACTGAGGGCTGGCCCCAACTCCCAGAAAGTGCAAGGGCTGGGGGACAGTACCCACTGTGGGCCTTCAGGCACAATGAAAAGGATAAGGTGGGGGTACATGACAATAAAATGAACCAGCTACTGAATACTTACTAACTTGTGGCTAACTAGTTCCCAAAGACCCTCCCAGATGGCTAGGGATATAGTTCAATTGGTAAAGAGCTCACATATCCAGATTACATACACAGCATACTAGCATACACAGACTGCTATTGCAGTGGCACACACCTGTAACCCCAGCACTTGGATAATGGAGGCAGGAGGATCAGAAATTCAAAGTCATCCTCAGTTATGTAGAGTAAGAGGCCAGTCTGGGTTAGAAATTATCTCACAAAGAACCTCCCAGTGAGTTACAAAAAGGTAGCTGTGTCAAGATGCTCCAAGCCACACCCAAATCTACAACCCAATCCTATTTTCCTAGCTATGCGATAGGGACAAATCACTTGTCCTTTCTGAGGCCTGGCATCCTTGATGTATGTAAAACACCTCCAAGTAGGTGATGAAGAACTAGAAAGCTTTGTGATGAGGGAAGTCTTCATCCAAACGAATCAACCACAACAAAGCCAGAAGATGTTTAGAGATTATGGTGTGTACAGCGTAGGTCTGTGTCAGCGTATATCAGATATAGTGCATTTAATCTTCTCAACTACATTGGAACTGAACACCACTATAATCTGCAATCCATTGATGAGAAAGCTAGGCATGGTGGCACATGACTGAAATTACAACACTTAGGAGTCGGAGTAAGAATCAGGAATTCAAGGCCAGACTGACCTTGTCTCAAAAACCAAATAGAAAAGAAAAGCTGAAGCTATAGCTTACCAGGTAGTTTTGCTTAGCAGGCACAAAGCACTGGGCTCTGTCCCTAGCACCTCATCTTAAACAGGGCATGGTGGCACACACCTATAATCCCAATACTTGAGTGGCTGAGGCAGGAGGACCACAGCGTATCATGTTACATAACAAGATGATGGGCTACATGAGACCCTGTCTAAAGAAAACAAAAGGAAATAATAAAATAAAACAAGGATGGGTAGCCGGGCGTTGGTGGCGCACGCCTTTAATCCCAGCACTTGGGAGGCAGAGGCAGGCGCATCTCTGTGAGTTCTTGGCCAGCCTGGTCTCCAGAGTGAGTGCCAGGACAGCCTCCAAAGCTACACAGAAAAACCCTGTCTCGAAAAACCAAAACAAAAAACAAAAAAGACAAAACAAAAACAAAAAACAAAACAAGGATGGGCAAATAAAGGCAGAGAAAGGTACAAGTGACTGACCCCCACCCCAAATCGCATAGCTAGGAAGCAGCAGCAATGGGATGTGCACCCCAGAAACCTTGTTGTGGTATCTAGGCTCTTTAATCAAGCTTGTGAAAACCAGACTATACACAAATGCCACAGACTTATCAATAACACTCAAGGACTCTCCAGGTAAGTCTTTTCTTTTTGACAGGGTTTCTTTTTAAAAATATATTTTCTGTGTACAGATGTGTTGCCTGCATGAATATCTGTCCATCGCATGCATGGCTAGTACCTTTGGAGGTGAGGAGGGTGTCAGAGCCTCTGAAAATGGAGCAACAAACAGTTGTGAGCCACCGTGTGGGTGCTAGGAATCAAACCGGAGTCCCGTAGGACAGCCAGAGCTCTTAACTTTTGAGCTATCTCTCAAGCCCCAAGAAATAGTTTCTTTATGTAGTCTTTGAACCCAAACGCTCCTGCTTCAGCCTCCCAAGTGCTGGGTTTGCAGGTATATGCCATTATGTCTGGCCCCAAGTATATTTTCAGTTATGCCAGCATCACCCCTAGTCCCAATTTTGATACATACGGAAGCCAAAGTTGAGGGAGTTCCAAGAACATTCTGAAGTGACATAGTTCTGCTCTTTGCAGACCACCTCCCTCCTTCCATCTACATCTCCCTTTCCCAGTTCCCCTGGAGCTATGCTAGGCTGGGGGCTCACCTGGAAAGTGGCAGCTGGCAGGTTGGAGATGGCAACATACTGGAGGTTATTCTGCAAAGTATAGATGAGAGAGGGCACCGCGAGCTTGAGTGTGTCCACATATTGCACCAGGACAGCCTCGTGGAGGAAGAGAACCAGGTGCTTCACATTACCTATGTGGGAGGAGGAGGGTCTGCTGAAGACTGGGACCAGGCTTAGTTCCTCTGTCCACCTCCCAATTCAGCCTTCCATCACAACTAAACTACTCTTCCCCCTCCTAGCGGCTCAGTTGCTCCTAAAGGAGTACAACAATACCAATAAGAACTTTTTCTGAGCTTGGCATGGTGCCTCATGCCTTTTATCCCGGCACTCAGGAGACAGAGGCAGGCTGATATGGTTAGTTTGAGGCTAGCACCTGGTTTACATATTGAATTCCAGACCAGCCAGGGCTAGAGTGAAACCTTGTCTTTAAAAACAAACAAACAAACAAGCAAACAAACAAACAAAAACCTTCCTGATGCTCAACTTAATGGCTGCAAAGGGGAATGGGGATGTAGTTCAGTGGTGGGGTGCTTGCCTAGCAGGTTTTACCCAAACACTGTAAGTAAAGAAAACTAATTGGCACTAAACGATTACCTATCCCACTATGCCTGCTAAGCAACTACATTTCACCCACCTGAGACCTACCTCCTTGGCATGAGCCTATTTGGGGCAAGCACTTGACATGTCTGGACAACGAAATCATCACAGGTAACTAGAAGCTCATGACATGGAGCTTCTTGGTTCATGGGCAAGGGTATAAAACTCTCTCTCAGAAGGGATGTTTTAGACTTGTTTGTTTTGTGGTTCTACCCATATCCTAGCTCCTTAACAGTCGATGAGCCACTTGAGGACAGAGTCCATTTCCCACCAAGCACATCTTTTTTTCAGCCCTGGACACCATAAGCTGCCCCTGCCCTATGGATGAATGCAGTCTTTTTTTTTACTTTTTTTTTCAAAACAGAGTCTCTCTATGGAGCCTGGGTTGGCCTCAAAGTCTCCTCCATCCTCCTGAGTATTCACCAACATGCTCAGCTGATTGCAGTCTTTTTGTTTTTGTTTTTGTTTTTTTTTGAGACATGATCTCACTTTTTAGTCAAGACTGATTTTGAGCTCACAAAGATCCACCTGCCTCTGTCTCCCAAATGCGGTGATTAAAGGCATGTGTCACCCCGGGTTGAGAATTTCTCCAATCAATTAACTGAGTATCATTTCCTATGTAATAAGGCCTATGTAAAGCTCACCACATTTTTACTTTTGGTCTTGATTAAATTCAAGCCCCCCAAGTGTGTTAAGCACACGCTACCAACTGAGTTATACACCCAGCCCTACATTTTACTTTTGTTATTTCCTTTAGACAGATTTCATGTAACACAGACTGGCTTTGAACTTGCTATGGATCCAAAGATGAATTCATCTTTTAGGCTCTACCTGAGGACAGTCACCCCTAGAAGATCATCACAACCACTGCACAGGGTCAGCCTAGGAATGCCTGTCTGATGCTGATCCATAAAATTTCCCCCTGCCCCATCACAGCACTTATTTCAGTAGTACTTAATGGATTTAACCTCGTCCAGGTAGTAAAAAGGTAGCATGATGTACCACAAAACACATCTCAAATCCTTCACAGCTATACTACACACCATAACAAAGCACATTCACATTTCTGTGGAGAATTATATCTATATGCATACAAAAGTGGGAAAACTCCAAACCCAGGTCTACCAAGAGCTCCACATCAGGTCAGGGTTAGGTTGCTAGTTCTTTTGTTTATTCCAACAAAGCCTTACTATATGGCTGAGGAAAGCCTCTTATTCAAATGCCACGATTACTAGCACTCAAGAGCTTTTCCTTTTGTAGTGATGGGGATGTAACCTAGGGTTTTAGCACGTGCTGAACAAGTGTTCAACACAAGGCTAGACTGTCACCAGCTAATTCATGGAAAAGCAAACGGAGCAGAGCACAATGCTGGGCCTGTAGCTGTAGCACAAGCTACCCCAGAGGCTGAGGAAGGAGGACTTTAGTCCAACAGCTTGAGTTTAAGATGGGTCTAGGTAGTACAGTGAGTTCTTGTCTCAAAGGGGGAAGGGAGGGAAGGCCTTGCAGGTAGGCGAACAAATTAAAATTGTAGCTCATCATGGTGATGCATACCTAGAATCCTAAAATTTGGGAGGTATAGGCAAGAGGATCAGGAGTTCAAAATCAAGCTCAGCTACAGTGTTAGAAGCCAGCCTTGGCTACCTGAAACTATGTCAAAAAATCAAAATAGGGCCAGCAAGATGGCTCATCAGGGTAAAGGTGCTTACTGCCAAGCCTGATAACATGAATTCCATCCCCAAGACCCATATGATGAAAGGAGAGATTCAATTCAGTTGTCTACTGACTTCCACATGCATACATAGCACATGGGTGCCCACCCCACAAATTAATAATAAATAATTGTGGATAAAAGCTACTGCTGGAGCCAGGAGGTGGTGGTGGTGCATGCCTTTGGTCCCAGCACTTGGGAGGCAGAGGCAGGCGGATCTCTGTGAGTTCAAGACCAGCCTGGTCTACAAGAGCTAGTTCCAGGACAGCCTCCAAAGCCAGAGAAACCCTGTCTCGGAAAACCAAAAAAGCTACTGCTGGGTGGTGGTGGTGGCACACGCCTTTGATCACAGCACTAGGAAGGAGTCAGGTGGATATCTGTGAGTTCAAGGACAGTGTGGTCTACAGAGTGAGTTCTAGGTCAGCCAGAGCTGTTACATAGAGGAATCCCGTCTTGAAAAACCAAAAAAGAAGGCTTTATAGATTTGAAGACTGATGAGCTACTTAGTCTTCTGGGTTTCTGATTTTGTGTGTGGGAGTATGGATGAGCTGGGGTACTTGTCTGTGCATGCTAATGTGGAAGATAGAGGCTAATGTTGGGTGTCTTCCTCTATCATTTTCCACTTTAATTTTTAAGATTTATTTTTATTTTACATATAGTATTTGTGCATGTATGTATGTGTACATATGTATGCAGGTATGATTGTGTACCACATATGTGCATTGCCACAGAGGCCAGAAGAGGACGTCAGATCCCCTGTAACTAGATTGACAAACTTTAGCCACTGTGTGGGTGCAGGAACTAGAATCTGGAAGAGGAGCTGATGCTTTTAACTGCCAAACCATCTCTAAACCCCCACTTTATTTTATTTTATTGTTTTTTTTTCAAGACAGGGTTTCTCTGTGTAGCTTTGGAGCCTATCCCAGAACTCACTCTGTAGACCAGCCTGGCCTGGAACTCACAGAGATCCGCCTCTCTCTGCCTCCGGAGTACTGGGATTAAAGGTGTGTGCCAACACCCGGCCCCCACCTTATTTTATTTTTTTAGGGCTTTAAAAAAATTATGTGTCTATGTTATGTGTATACATGTGTGAAGGTGCCTGTGGAGGCCAGAGGCATTGCATCCCCTGGAACTGGAGATATAGAAGGTTGTGAGCCACTTGAACACATACTGAGCCATCTCTCCAGCTCTCTCCACCTTATTTTTGAGACAAGGCTGGATATTTTGGCTAGAATGGCTGGTCAGGGAGTCCACAGAACCTTCCTGTCCCCAACCTCCAGCCTGTCCCCTGCCTCCTGTCCCTGAGCTCGCAAAGATGAGCTGGGATTAGATGCATGCCACTATGCATGCTTTATATAGGGGCTCTGAAGCTTGATCCAGGCCTTCATTCTTGTGTAGCATTTTACCCATGAAGCCATCTTCCCCACCACTATTGTTCTGGTTTTCTTTCTTGTGTGTATGCACACATGTATGGTACTGGGGGGTTGAACCTGCGGCTCTGAACAAGCTAAGCAAGTGCTCTCTCCACAGCTGAGATACATTTCCAGTCCTTTATTTGTATTGTGTGTGATGCATGTGTGTGAGTGTGGGCATACACACTCCACCGTGCCAAGTGCAGAGGTCCAAGGACAACTTAGAGGCTAAACCAGTTCCTTCTTTCCATCGTGGGTCCAGGGGATAGAGCTCAGGCTATCAGGCTTGCATGGCAAGAGCTTTTACCTGCTGAGCTATCTTGTTAATCCTATGTTTTATTTTGAGGCTGGGTCTTAGCAAGTTGACCAGGTTGGTGTTGAACTTAGGATCTTTCTGCCCCAGCTTCTCAAGTAGCTGAGATTACAGGCCTGCATCATCAGGTCTGGCTTTGTTCTTTTGTTCATTGGGGGTTTGGGGTTTTTGTTTATTTATTTGTTTTGTTTTGAGATAGGATCTTTCTTCAGCCCAAGAAGACCTAGAATTTATGACCCTCCTGCCTCCTACATGCTGAATTACCCAGTTTTATTGTTATTTTATCATGTATGATTTTATTATGCTTCCTTTTTTTAGATAGAACTTCAGATAGTTCAAGCTGTCCCTGAACTCACTATGTGGTCAAAGATGACCTTGAACTGCTGATCCTTCTGCCTCAGATTATAGGCATTTGTCACACTGGTTTATAAGGTGCTTGATATCAAACCCAGAGCTTTATATATTCTAGGCAAGCACTCTATCAACTAAGCCACACCCCCATCTGTAGGTATTTACTTATTGCTTGTTTTTTTCTTGTTTTGAGTCATTGGAGCATTAAATGTTGCTCAAACTAGCCTTGAAGTCATGGAATTAACTGATGCTCTGCCTTAGTATGCTGACCAGGTGTAGTTACAATTGCATGACACTCCAGCCAGCTGGTCCTATAATGGTGCAGCCATGTAAAAGATATATAAATTAGCAGTGAGCAGCTAGCCAGTGATGCTACTTTATGACAAGTAGCCAAGGGTTGAGAATTGTGAACCATTTTACTATTCTCTCTCTCTCTCTCTCTCTCTCTCTCTCTCTCTCTGTGTGTGTGTGTGTGTGTGTGTGTGTGATGGAGTTCTTTATATTACAAAGTTTCTTTCCTTTCTAGACTGAGTCACATGTAGCCCAGGCTAGCCTTGAACTTCCTATGTTATCTTGATCTTCCTGCCTCCACCTTCCAAGTGCTGTTACTATAGGCATGTACCTCCACACTTGGCTTCCATAAGGTAACATTAAATTTTTGAATCCCCATGAGTGTTCTGTTGCCTGGTGGGCAGACCATCTCACTACTACAGTTTCCAAGGTGGAAGGGCTATACAAGCGGCGATGAAACTTTACACAGCTGGAGTGAGAGGAAAGCCACTAGTCTCCAAGCAATTTCAGACACACCAGTATACACTCCCCCCCCAAAAAAAAACCTCCCAGGTGTGCTTACACGAAGGGGGTCAGACCAACCAACCCCTTCCCTGACTCATACCCCTCTTCTGGGCGAAGAGCAGCAGGAGACAGGTGACACCTTTAAGCACTTCAGCCATGACCACAGCGGTGGTGGCAAAGAAGCGATCACCAGGCAGTGTACGAGCATATCGGATGCTAAGGATGAGGGAGGCGTTCTGGACCACCAGCACAGCTAAGGATATGTACTTGAGGCGCCGGTGAGCTGTAGGGAGTGGAATGAACACAGAAGGATGGGGTCAGAAGCTGTTGGGGTACAGCCACCCATCTCACCCCTCTTTTCTCAAAAACCTCCCAGTCACTGGAACTTCCTCTGCCTGCCCATCTTGACTAAACAAGAATCTGATTCCCTACCAGTTTCCACACCCTCAGTTACTGGCAAAAGTGTCAGACAGGGAAAAGCGGGCCCCATTCTGACCAGCTCTTAATCTGAAATCCTTGGTAAGGTGTGAGGAAACAACCTGAGCAGGCCCTGGACATACATATTCACTTCCTCTCCCTCCTCTGGGAAGCAAGTCTTTCTCTGACAGCATTCCCCATGTGTATTGAATGCTACTGCCTATCACTGCACTAAGGGATTTACATGGATTCCCATTATTTGGTCTCTGAAGGTACTGTGAAAAATCCCATATTGTGGATGAGCAAATTGAGGATTTATATGAAGTGAGGTTTCTACTTGAAGGAGTGTCCCATAAAAGAAATAATACTTCAATATAACGAATGGGACAATTGTCTAAGATGTCCACCTCCTAAGGATTGTTCTATTTTCTCATCTCATCTAATGGTTACTCAGTAGTCTATCTTAATCACATAAGGAAATACTTCCCTACACCATATAGTCCATCCTTCTTCTGCTGTAACCCTCCTCCCAGCCAAAGAATAATTCTTTGTTCTACCCACACTCACAATGAGCTCTGTCTGCTATATAGAAGGACTTGGCACCCTCAGAATGTTTTTTCCCTGACCTATAAGGAAGGAACCTTCCCACCTTAGCATAAATAGAACTATCTCCATTTGGCTGGGACATCCCCAGGACAATCTCTCCATGGAATGAAGGGCAGCGTGAGGCTCAAAATGGATCCACTAGTCATACAAGGATATGCCCCACCCTGACAATTTATAAGGTGCCTTTATAAGGAAGAAGCCACCACCCTAAGAATCGCCTCTCCCTTCTATAAGGAAAAACTCCCACCCCAGAATTGGCTTTCCCTTCCACGATTAAAGACTACCCACACCCCCAGAACGTTCTCAACGGTCAGCCGCCTCAAAAGGAAATCCCCTACACATTCACAACGGTCTTTATTTGCAAGTCCAGGACCCCCGCCACAAGCACCCACAAAACGACCGATTCCTGCCCGCAATGGACAATGGTCCGTTCTCTCCCCTTCTTCCCACTCTCATACACACTCAAACACAACGTCCGTTCATACGAGACGCCGCTGTCACTCCAACTAAGGATCGTTCCACCCCCAAGGATCCCCATCTCCGCCCAGCCAATTGCTCTGCCTCAGGTCATCTCACCCGCTGTAGCGGACCCAGGCTCCAGCGCGCCAGCGGATACGGCCCCTGGCCCGGCCGCCGCGGCAGATCCGCCAACCCCAACCGCTGCCATGTTGGCATCTGCCCGTTCCGTCCCCTCGGCAACAGCAGGCTACTTCCGTATCCATCACGTCCGCTTCCGGGCCTCCGGAGTGGTGGGCGGAGCATTAGCTGGGACGGGGAGGTGGGTGTTCTTAGCCCGTTCCAAACCCGATTTTTTTTCCAACCCCGATTCTAAAATGGTGGTTTCGAGCTTCCCAAATTTCACCAAAACCTGAGAGACCAAGAGCGCCACAGTCCTTACACTTCTCTGCTGGCACAACGTGGCAGCAGACCCGGCCCACACCTCCCTGCCGGCCTCACCGACCCCGACTGTCCACACCACCAGCCCAAACCATCCGGTGGTTTCATTGGTTATGTTGCTCCGCCATCTCGGCTTTTTATTGGAACCTTCGGATGGCACCACCCTTCTCACATGAGAAACTCAGTTCCATTCCCATCTCCCAGCCAGGTCCCGCCCTCTAAGGGCCGAAGGCCAACTGGGAGGAACCGGACTTTCGAGAAGGCGGGACAAGTGAGACATAGGGCTATGGCTAGACTCAGAGAATGCCCCGTCTAACTTCAGTAGGGAGGGCTAGTCACCATAACAGAGGAAATGATGGGCAGGGTTCAGGACAATTGACGTCAGAATTAGAGAACACCAAGGGAGGTGAGTTGAGGTAGATGGGAGGAGGAGCATGGAAGGCAGACAAAATTAAGGTTTAAAGAGCTACACAGAAAGTGCTAGAAAGATTCCAGTTGGAGCCTGGGATTTATGTTTGTGCCAGTAAATCCCACCACTCCAAGTTTGAGGCTAGCTTGAGCTTCAAAAGACCCCATCTAAAAACAAAAACTGTCAGACTGGCCCACTGTCTCATTGGGGTTTTCTTCAATAGAGATTTTTCTCCAGGCATCTCCTAAACTCAGCATACAGTAGGTGCTCCACTAATGCCTACCTCTATAAATGGCCATTCACTTGTGACTTCATTATTTATTAAATAGGTTTCCACACATGGCTTTTTAAATAATCCAGGCAGGGGGAGAAGGGACAGGAGGGCACACTTGCAGCTCTCCTACCGCCAGTACATCATTATTTACACTTTAGTCACTGGACAATCCTGGCTCAGGAGGAGGCAGCAAAAGTTGGAGGGGGGGGACCCCAGGAGAACAGACAGTAAGACTTATTTCCTCCATTCCATCCCCCCAAAACCATCCATCCCATCCTAGTGTCTGGTGGTGTCCGGTGATGTCCATCTCCCATTCCTTCCCAAATTATGGAAGTAAGGTTCTTCTCACCAGAATAAGAGCACTTGGGATAACAGTAGGGTCCCCTCACCAAAAAATTATAATAAAATAAAGAAAAAAAAGGATAAAAAAAGCACTGGGATACTAATTAATAGGGCTTAATAATGCTAAACCTTCCCCAAAATAGTCATTTCTGGGCTAAGGCAGGCAAGCAGCAACTGAATGAGATCCCAGGGTAAGGGCCCTTTTGCTAAAGAGCAGCTGGGGTATTTTAAGGAAAGCACCCTTGCCCGAGTGAGAGCATTTGAACTAAGTGTCTAAATCTGTGGTAGTAGTATTTTGGGGGTGCCAGTGTAGGGACTACAATGTCAGAATAAGAATCTTAGGGCCCAGAAGGGAAGGAATCCAACCAAATGAACATCCTTAACAGAACAAGAAACAAGTAACTCCCACTCCCAAATAAGGGACCACAGGTTCTGGGAGGAGAGCTCCTTCACAGGATTGGGATAGGAACTGGGCAGACTTGGCTTTCTTCTGACCCCTGATCCTTATTCCCTGACCTTAGTAATACTGGATTTTTAACAACCTGTATAACCAGGTAAACAGATGTCCATCTATCCCTGCAGCATGACCATGGGATTCCAAACAGAGCCTGGCTGGGCCTAGGGAAGCAGGGACCAGGGTAAGGGGGTGGGGTTTGCTTTGGAGGGATTGATGGGTGCTTCTTCAGCTGGTGTTTGCATCCATGGGTCCAGCAGAATCTCCTCCAGTGAGGGTCGGGAACAGGGTTTAGGGGCCAGGCACCGGCGGATTAGGGCACAGCAATCTGTGGGGTAAAGAAGCACAGGGGGTATATTAGCAGTTAGCAAAGGGTACTCAGTCGTGGGAGGAATGAAGCCTGTTGGGTTGTGGTCAGTGAGGGCCTCACCTGGGGAGACATGAGCAGGGAAGTGGAGCTCAGCCTCCAGAATCTCCTGATCTCTCTCGAAGGGAATGTCCCCACAGACCATGTCATAGAGGAGGACACCTAGTGACCAGACAGTAGCTGGGAGGGCGTGGTACTGGTGTCGAGAGATCCACTCCGGAGGGCTATACACCCTTGTCCCTGCACACAAGCCAAGGATTAGGTCTTTCTCTGATGATGCCCTTCCTCAACCCCTGTGTCCCTAGCAGTATGAACTGTAAATTAAAGGAGAGTATCCACTTGCTGGAGCAGTAACACTTCAAATTTAACAGCAGAGTCCTGCAAGTTACCAAAAGCAAACCAAAAAATACCCCAACTACAAAAATGCTAATACTAACAAGATCCCCACAATGTTAAGGAGCTGTAAGATGGACCTTATTAGGGATCTAAGTTTAAGAATCCAGAACCTTAAAGGGCACGATATAGGTCAAAGGTTACAAGGACAACCCAATACTAAAGCTCAAAAGTCCCAAGAGTAAAACAGTCCTCCCACCAGAAATTGTAGGGAAGAAGCCTTACCATCAAAGTCCGTGTAGGGTTCATCATGCAGCAGGGCACCAGAACCAAAATCAATGAGTTTAATACAACCCCGGCACAGGTCTATCAGGATGTTCTCATCCTTGATATCACGATGGACAACTCCACGGGCATGGCAGTGCTGGACAGCTGCCACTACTTGGGTAAAGAAGCTGCGGCTGCGGCTTTCACCCAGTGGGCCCTTCTCTGTGATGTAGTCAAAAAGATCCTGGGCAGGCATAGGCCGCTCAAGGACCAGCATGAAACCCTCTGGTGTCTCAAACCAGTCAAGCAGGCGTATCACACCCGGATGCCCATTGCCTTCACCCACCTTCCACAGCAGTGCTACCTCAAGTGGGCAAGTGACTGAGTCTGACTGAGGTGAGAAATAGAAAAAGACAAAAGGTAGATATTAAGTCTGTAGCCCTATTGTCAATATATAACAGTTTATTTTCATAGCACTGATTTTGACCTTTAGCTAGCCATTTCCCTTCCTAGACTTCAGTATCCTCTCAAAGGCTCAAATCCATTGGAGTGAAATGAGCAGAGACCATATACATCTGGCATGTTCAGTAAATATTTGAATAAGTTGAAGTGTTTTCCTTTTTAGGGGAGGGAGTTGGAGACAGGAACTTTACATAGAGCAAGCTGGCCCGGAACTCAAGAGATCTGCTGTCTCTGCCATCAGAGCGCTGGGATTAAAGTGTGCATCACCATGCCTGGCCTTCAGTGTTTACTTTGCAGCCAAAAGGGGCTAGCACTGAAAAGTAGTTAAATACTATTATACCTTATAACAGAGTAGGACTCAGTATGCTAGACAGAGAGCAGTTAGTAGAAGAGATCTAATACATACTGAATTTTAATAAGTGTACTTTGCAAAGTGCCTATAATTATGCCACTGCATAGATGTTCTCCGGCTTTTCAATTTTGTCTCATTTTTGAGACAGGATTTTGCCATGCAGCCCACGCTGGCCTCAAATTCACTGAAATCCTAGTGCCCCAGCCTCTTGAATGTTGGGATTACAGGTGTGCACCACCAATCCTGGCTTTCGTTGTTTTTTTTATTTTTTTAATAGCTTACAGTGATTAATTGCAAAGGACCTGGCACAGAGCAAACATTTAATGAATACGATGTTTTGTCGGCCTTTACTAATCAACTAGCACAACTCAATAACGCCACCCCCCACACCTGAACAGGCAGTGCACAGAGAGTGCACAGGCACAGAGAGTGCCAATGGTCTTGTTGCCTCAGATGAGGCCCTTTACAGGCCCACTAACTTGCACAGTCGCAGACAGGTTTTCTCACGGAGATGCAAATTCGACTACTGCGCAGGCTCACCCTCCCTCCCTCTCTGTCCCAGGGACGACATAGACTGCCTGATATACCCGCCAGGGGGAGCTCTCTTACCTACAATTTGCCCAGACCCGCCCTGATGTCCGTTAGCGTTCTTGGGGTAGCAAGAGAGAAGCAGCCAGCATCACCATGACAACCAGTGACCTAGGCCCCTCCTTCCCCACCAGCATGTACTGTGAACAGCCCCTGAAGCAGTGTTTGGAAGACGGATGCAAAAGGAGAGTTTGAGAGGAGAATCCAGAGCTCTGGGGAAATTGAGGCGAAATCAGAACTATCACATAAAGGCAGTAAACATAGGCTGGCGGGGTTCTCATGGTTTCAGGGCCCAGGGAATCCACTAGAAAAAAATCAGGGGGTGAGTGCGTTGATGGAGTCCATGGGTCATGACGTACACCAAAGACACTCACCACGGTGGACCAGCCTAGCACACGATTCCGGGAAATTACTTTGATCGCCACCTAGAAAAAAAATGATGAGATAAGGGAGCCAGCCGGTGATGCCAGACTCTTCTTACTCTGGACCCTCTGCCCAACTGCAGTCTCTCCACTCTAGAATTTCTAGTTCCCATACATATCACACCCACTGGAGCTCGGATGCCTATCCAGCATTCTGAAGTCCCCAGAAGCAAGTTCACTCCAGCCATCTAACATCATTACTCCTGAGCTCTTGTCAGGAAAGCATCAAGGCCCCCTGAAATCCAGACTGGACCTGTAGTTTTTTTTTTTTTTTTCATTTGTTTTTCTCTCTTTCCCCCTGTCTCCCTACACCACCCACAACCCTGTGTGATGTTGGTATTGAACTCAGTGCTTGTGAATTGTGGGCAAACCATCCACTATTGATCCATATCCCCACATTCAAATTTTCGGTTTTTTGACATCGCATGCCCTCCTCCATCATCCTACCCATCCCCAGGACACAACAACTCTGTATCTGGATTCTTGTTCTCACGACTCCACACTTAACACCTACTTAAAAAAATCCCCACTTTCCCAGACACACGCACACAGACACACACGCACGCATGCACGCACGCAGATTCCATGGATCTTGGGGTCGAGTCCTGAAGATCTGTCCCCTTCCCAGGAGAAATACCCGGTCTTCCAGAATTCTTTCCCACCCCCATACCCACCTGGACTGCAGACACGCGCACGCACTCACACACATAACAACCTTGCTCCTTATGATTTTACTACACATTTGCAGCCTCCCCACTGGAACAACTGGCATCTCCATCCCCACCACCACCCTTCGCCAAAACACCGGACCCTCCCAGAACCCCTATAGGGGATACCTGACGTCTATCCGTGACGCGGTGTCCCGCGAAGACAGTGCCAAAGCCTCCCTTACCCAGGAGGGGGCCAAGTCGGTATTCGGCCTCGAAAGCTGCCCGATTCTTGCCACCTACGCAAGCGGAGGCGAGGAAGTCAGGGTGGCGGTGTACTCTGATCCCAGCCGTGACTCTCGCCTCCACACCGGCACCCACCATTATATCCACCCAACCTGCTTGTATCAGGGGAGGCTGCGCTCACCTGGAGGCTTCGTGGGGGTCACAGGGGGCGAAGGAAGCCCCTGCAGAGGTTTGGTCAACATGGAGGAGGTGCTGCGTAGATTGAGCCCGCTGAATCCGCTGAGCCCGCAGGGCGTGGATGCCCGGGGCAGAGCGGCCGGAGAGCCAGGGCTGGGGGGCGCCAGGGTGGAAGGCAGGGAATCTGGTGGCCCGGAAGCGCCCGCAGACGGCGCAGCGTTAAGATTCGTCGCGCGCGCCAGCCCCAATGCTACTGAGCCGGGGCACGCGCCTCCCGGAGAGTCGCCCTGTGCGACAGCCCCGCCCACCTGGCTTTGATCAATCCGGACGCGGCACCTGCTGTACCCCGGCCAATCGGAGCCAGTCCTTATTTGCATGCCACCATCAACGCTTCAAGTGCCCCTTATGCAAATACACTCCAGGTTCTTCCTTGGTGGTGGGGCCTGTATGCAAATGTGGGGGCGGGGGCGGCCGCGCGCGCGCCCGCGCACACACACACATGTACACACACACACACACGTACACACACACACACACACACATGCACACACACACACACACACACACACACACACACACACACGCAGACAGACGCGCGCGCACACACACGCTCGGACAGGTTCTGGGAATCCCTTTGCGACATCCGCGTTTCTTTTACTTGCGGGTGTGGTGGGCTATGTGTACACACTTAAAAAAAAGTGCACCCTCCTTTCCTAGGACACAGGTTTGCGGCCGCCATCGCCTTTGCAGTCCTGGAATCCGTGAGGAAACAACGCCAAGCTAGCTTTTAATAATCAGAGCCTGGAGCTAGGCAGGATTCTTTCTATCATGCAAGAGTGTTTCTCACCCAGGATCAGATAGCCTTTGCCTCAAAATTGTAACCAGGCCCTCATAGAAGAGCTGGTCCATTCTTCAGGAGAGGATAATATTATCTATCACCACCATGACAAGGAAGGGGAGCAGGGCACTCAATGACAGTTTGGCACCTGTAGGGTTTTGGGTTTTTTTGTTTGTTTTTTGTTTTGCCATTCCTACACAAACCTGGCTAGACTTACAGCTTGGTTCTTGTGGGAACTGCACAAAGACTGAAGAAGTGGTACAACTGCCTCAGCCATTTCTGTGTAAATATCGTGGACCTCATGTCCAGGAAGACAGCTACACAACTCCAAAGATACACGGAGCCGGGCAGTGATGGCACACGCCTTTTATCCCAGCACTTGGGAGGTAGGCGGATCTCTTTGGGAGTTCGAGGCCAGCCTGGTCTACAAAGCTACAGAGAAACCCTGTCTTGAAAAACAAAAACAAAAAGATACACAGAAAGCTAGGCATTGAAGAGTATACACAAAATCCAAGTACTTTGTATGCTGAGTCAGGAGGACCATCACGAATCGGCAGCCAGACTGGGCAATATAGTGAGAATGTGACTTTAACCCAAAATGAGTTGGCTCAGAGGTGAGATGGCTCAGAGGCATTTGCTACAGTGTCTGCCAACCCGTATTCAATCTCCACAAGTTGTTTTCTGACATCCAAGCATGTACCCACACGGAGAGGGACTACCATGAAAGATACAGTTGGATACATTCAGGGAGACTTGTCCTAGACCTAGATTCACATGAAGATACATCCAAAGACTATCCCAGAAACACTCAGTGACACAACTTTACTTGTACAGTCCCATGGGGTCATTTAACATGGTAGATCCCACCAGAAACTGACAAACTTGTTCCAAGCACACCAGCACCACCAGATATCCACATTTACATAGATTTGTACTGCCCCAGAAATGAGGCATTTTTTTTTCTTTTTTTTTTCCGGTTTTTCGAGACAAGGTTTCTCTGTGGCTTTGGAGGCTGTCCTGGAACTAGCTCTTGTAGACCAGGCTGGTCTCGAACTCACAGAGATCCACCTGCCTCTGCCTCCTGAGTGCTGGGGCTAAAGGCGTGTGCCTCCAACGCCCGGCGTGAAGGACCCGGATTCTGTCACAAGAATACACACAGATGTTTTTACACACACACACACACACAGACACACTGCTCCAAAGCAGGCATCACACAGCTATATAAGCATCATATAGCTATATAAGCAATGTCACAAAAAAGATCCAATCACATACACTATCAGACATGCAGCCTTATCACTGAAAGTATCCAGACAAACTACAGATGCACTGTCACTGACAGACCCACGCAAACATGCACTTCTCTCAGATACCAGACACAAACTGTCATAGGCAGAGTCCCACACCCAAGTCACCATCTGACACACCTGGAAACAAGCCCTCATCGGACACAGACACATACACACTCAGCCAGAGACACTGAAGGGAAACTGGTAGATTCACTGTGGTCAAAGGCACAGACAATTCACACAAAGCATAACAGTTGCATGTAATTTCCCTTAACTCATCCAGAGTTACTAGGTGTTTTACTATGAGCCTGACAGGCTTTAGTGCAGAGATAGATCTTAAGACACGCACAAACAAGATAAGTAAGCATCACAGCCCCAGCCCAGAAGTTTATTTGTAGTACAGTTATTGGGGATAGTTGTAGACAGAAGTGAGAATGTGAATGGGATCACGCAGGCTTTTCTCAGGTGATCCCTCTGTCTTAAAAGACAAATAAGGTTGGTAGCTGAAGATAGGGTTAGGGCAAATTGCAAGTAAAAGCCAGGAGTAGCAAGAGGCAGGCTGAGGCCAAATGGTACAAACTTACAAAATACGATAATACCCCCACCCCTAAGTCTGGTAATAACCCCAACATTTGTGCTCTAAGAATGTACCAGGTACTGTTCCTAGTAGTACATTATTGACCATACACATTCTCTGTCAATACTCACAAATCAGAGAGCATGAGGTAGCAGACATTAAATCACCCCTGCAGTTGCAGATGGGGCACTTTAAACTCAAAGAGAGCCCAAAGCCACACAGCTAGAAAATGCAGATTTTAAAATCAACCCTCTTGGCGTGCTCATGCTTGACCATTTATTTCAGATACCCTGCAGCCACCCACTGGGCAAATCACACCCTCATCTGTGGGACCCCCACTGAGGCATGGTGCGGGGAACACTGTTTTGAGAAAATCTGAGGGTCAGCCAGCCTTCTCAATCAGGGCTTTAAAAACTCTAGGAGGGATGAACAGAGCTGTCAACATAATTTGGAAACAACAAAAAAAGGATTTAGCCTTTTCATTCTCCAGCTTCTAAAACCCAGTCAGGCAGGGGTCACCTCTGGTCACTGCCACTAAACTCTTGTAGCTAATTATCAATTGTTTATTTCTTCATCAGATTATCACAAAAATGAACATTAAGGTTGAGGGTGGAAATTCAAACAAAATTCAGTCATGGTCTTCAGCTCAAACACAGTCCTTAATTATTCTCAGGCTCCCATTTGGAAAATATGGTAGGTGGGAGTAGGAACTGCAAAGATTTAATACTGAAAAAGTTTGCTATGGTTTTTGAGAAAAGTGTCTTATTGTGTAGCCTGGCTGGCCTGCAACTCTACTATGTAGATCAGGCTGGCCTGAAACTCATAGATCCACCTAGAAGAGTTTTGTTGTTGCTGGTTCTGCCAGGAAAAAGAATCTTGGTTATGTGGCTCAGGTTAGTTTCAACCGCCTGGGCTCTACCTACACTGTACCTAGCAAGAAGTGCATTTAATAAACAGATCAAAGATGAACCCAACCTACAGACAGCACCTACTGGAGAACAAGTAGACCTCAGGTCAAACCAAACTCCATGCTTCCCAGAGGCCAAGCCACCCCTGCCCCACACAGAACAGAGTTGCTCAGGGAAACTGACATTTGGTTTTATTGTGCCAAGGACATTACAGATGGTGGATCTTGTCAACACCTGCAGGGCACAGGTGCCCCATCTGCCAAGGCTGCTCCCACTCCCTAAACTCAAATCTTGGGTAGCGGCCATGATCTTCAAAGATACCTCCACCTCAAGATTCCAAAAAGACTAGTGGTGGTGGAAGCAAAAGGAATGCAGCAAGGTCAGGGTCTCATTGTCCAAAGCCAGTCTGCCACCTGCAACCCCTGTCACCTCCCTCTGGCTCATATCCTCTTCCCTTCCAAGGAGTTGGAGGTCAGAAGGCAGTAGAAATCCATCTCTTTGTCTGCCCACCATGCCCCATGGCCAGCTTGCAGGTCTCCAAACGGAGATGCCATCCTCAGAGAGTCAGTGTTGCCAAGGACATGGTTTTCGATTTGTTGATTTTAAATGATGAAAGTACGTCTTAATAAAGAAAAATCTAACATGGAAGGCTCAGATTCTTGGGTTATTAGGAAGGAAAAATTTCCCCTTCCACCTTTCCTGTCAGGGGAGGGGTTAACAAGTTTAATTGATCTGTAAGGAAGGCTAAACAGTAGACTTCCTTTGTCTGAGTATCTCTCTTCTGGGGCTGCCAGATGGTCCATCTCTGTGTGCCTCTCGCCTACCTTCGGCACCCTTTCCAGAGTCCCCTGTGGAATGCTGAGACGGTGCTGTGCAGGGGGCAACAGGGCACATCAGCTGGCAGATGGTGGCAGGGATGAGATGGATGGAGCGCAAGGGTGGGCCAGCCAGAGGGAAGTGGAAAAGAAGGAAAATAGGAAACAAAGGAAGGAAGCCAAGAGGGAAGAAAGCCAAAGAAGGTTGGGTGGCATCAAGGGCAGGAGTGGGGGTCGAGGGATGCTGTCCAGTCCCTGGGTCTCCATCAACTTTTGTCTGGGGGTGGATCTCTGTGCACTTTGTTTTTCTTCATACTGTCTAAGTATTCCTGTTGGGATACTGCCAGCACCGATGCTAGGATCTCATCATCATCCCAATCATTCAGACCTGCTGGGCAGGAAAGAGAAGGGGAAAACAATGATGGGGGTCTTCAGCCCATTTCCCTCCTTCCTGTCTAATCCATCCAGGTCCTAGTCACTCACTGGCTCCCTTAACTCTCTCTGTGAAACCCTGCTAGACCCCTGGGGAGAAAACTTTTTGGGCCTGAAATTTTCCTTCATACGTCGCATTTGGGAAGGTGCCCAGGGGCTTCAAAAATCCTCCAGGCTCTCCCAACTTCCAGCTGGCCCATCCTCTAAGAAGGCTTACCAAAGGCAGAGGGGGACATCTGCTGGATGAGGGCCCGGCACTCCAGAGCAGGGTAGAGGGACACAAGAGGAGAGGTGGCCCGATCAGCCCCTGGCGAAAACTGACTGCTTGTACCTGAGGCAGATGAACAGTCAGAGATAGGTCCCACCAAGCAGAGCCTCTTAACCCAAGCAGGCACCCTGAAAGCAAATCACTGACCTGGTGCACAGGGTGAAGGAGGTTTGGCAAGAGCTAACACAGTGCCTGGGGAAGGGGGCTTAATGCCTAGCTCAGCATGCAGTTCAGGGTGCTCAGGTGACGAGGCTGAACTTCGTTGCCGTGGAGACCGACTAGTCCATTCCTCCAGGCCACTGGAGGCTGCTGCTGTGGCTGAACTGCATGTGGCACTGGCTTTCCGGGGCTGCAGTAGGGAAGGAAAAAGTGTTAAGAACCTACACTGGCTATGATCCTCCTGTGCCAGAGTGCTTATCCCCTTTCCAGAACCCTGGCTACAGTACAGCTTTACTGCATCACAATGGAACACAGGCAATGGTTTATAACCACTACCATATCATTGGAGGCTAATGACAGAAAGTCCTATTCTTTCAAGAGATCCTGCCTCCACACCATGACCACAGTGCCTTCACACGTACTACCTCTAGTAGCCTCCTCCTTACTGGTCTCCTCCTTCTAACCTTGCTTTCTAGCTTAGACCGTTTTACTCAGCAGTCGGGGTGATCCTGATAAGTCCTAACTCACATCCAATCCCTTTTCTGTTCACAGCCCTCTCATTGTTTCTGCCTCATTCAGAGCAAAACCAAAGTCCTCTCCACAGAGTTTACAAACCACTATCCAACCTAGTCCCACTACCCAAATTTTCACCCACTACATTCTGTTCAGCTACAGGCTATTCCTGAGTTATAAATATACAAAGTATGCTGCCCTCACCCCAGGCCTTGCGATGTCTACATACTTAGTTACCATTTCACTTTTTGGGAGCTTTTCCTCTTCTCATGTGCTGAGACCTACCCTGATGACTGTTTAATACAGTGAACTCAAACCATCCCCACTCAAGTCTCATTCTTGCCCTGTACCAACTGTCCATTCTTCATCAACCGTTATCTCCAGCTAATTTATTCATTATGATTATTTTATTTCACTTTGAAAAACTGTGAGCAGCCTAAGGGCTGGGATCTTGGCCTGCTAGGTTAAAAAATGTACCCTGCTACACTAAGAATAGGGCCTCCTGCTTCCTGGCACAGGCCTATGATAAATACTTGCTGAACAGATTACTCAGCTCTTTCAAACATCTGATCATTCCAAACTCCTTTGGGACTCTGGAGATGCCTGCCTCCCTGCCACCAACCTAAAAGCACAAATGATTGAAACCCCCACCCCTACTGGTCTTTGCATAGCCAGGGTCACAGGCCCCACCAATTCCTGTCTCCCTCAACAGACAGGATCACTGAAGGTAGAAGGAAAAGGTTTTATATCATCAGAACAGAATGTAGCATACGAAGGTGTTCCAAAACAGTCATTGTTCCTTTGTGCCACCAGCAGTGGTGGCTGCTCTCCTTTCTTAGAAACTGTTCTCCTTCACTTCTTAAGAGCAAGTTGGGAGTTCCAAGGTATGATGCTAAGACTAAAGATGAGATGAGTTATGAACGGGGCTGGGAGTTTCCCTCTCCCGTATTGTATCCCTATTCATTAGGGGCCAAAAGGTAAGAACAAACAGGTCTTCATTAGGCCAGTGACAGAGTCCATGACCCACCTGGCTGGGTCCCCGGACCTGGCGGGCCTGTTTCTCCTGATCCCTCAGCCACTGTAGGTAGGATTCTCGAGCCACCTGCTCCTCTATGGCCTCATTTGTGGCCTCCCAGTCTGTAGCTCGTTTCTTGTCTTCCAACATTTGTTGTTCAATCCATGATTCCTCTGATGTCTTTATAGCATTTTTCATCAGGGACTGCTCTGCAAACTGCCAGGGGAGAGGAACAGGGATGTGGGGTGATGCGCTGAACCTGGGTAAGAACCTGGATGGGCTCAGCAAGGTAGGCTTACAGGCCTTAGCAAAAACAATACAGGAAAAGTTAATTTTACAAAGTACTCCTCAGCAGACTGTGCACAGATCGATAACTGGAGGTAAACAGGCCTAGATTATAAGACCTGGCATTTTAAATTCCTATGGTCAGAAACGCTGGCCCAACCAAGACACCTGGAATGAACCACTAAGTTTGGGGATGAGAGGTGCTCTTCAGTCTAGGCCTTAATTTAAAGAAGCCTCACCTAGTAATGGTTCTATTTTACAACGCTGAAGCCATTCTCATAGAGTCACAGATAGGGCAAAGGAAAAAGATGAATAAAGAAGTGAACTGTAAGACATGGAGTGGAGGCAGGAGTCAAGCATATATGAGGCTGGGTGTGGCTATGTGAGGGATGAAGGGTCAGTATCGGCATGGTGTGGGTGCTAGGACACTGTATGAGAGAATTTCATGCCAAGTTTCAAGAGACTACAGCATTATTTGTTTGTTTGTTTTTTGAGACAGGGTCTCACTACATGGCCCAGTCTGATCTTGAACTCACTATGTAGGCCAAGCTGGCCTGGAATTCATGGCAATCCTCCTGCTTCAGCCTCCCAAGTGCTGGGAACAGGCGTGAGCCACCACATCCAGCGATATGACACTAATGAAATAATAAAGAACATCAAAGTATATTTCAGGGATTAAGTGTAAATACTGCTTCATAAAGTTTTAATAAATGTTTTTCCCCAAAACAATGGCTCAGTATACAGTCCAGGTTAGCTTTGGATTTACAAGTCTCCTTTCTCTGTCTCTGGAATTCTAGGATTACAGGCATGTACCACCATCCCCCAGCAAGTTAACATCATTTACACATACACATAAACACACACAAATGCACGTGTGCTAAGTAATGATGCACAACATAATTTTCTATCATGGAGCAATACTAGGGGAAATATATGTATGAAAAAGTTACATTGAGCCAATTTAAAATTAGGCAGATATGGTCCAGCTCACTGATAAAGAGTGCATACACAAAAACATGGATTCAAAAACATGAAAGGTTAGGTAAGCAATCTAACCACAGAGAAAGACACAGAGATGGCAAATGGACATATGTAAAAGATACTCAGGCTGGGGGTATAGCTCAGGGATAGAGTACTAAAACAATGCTCAACACATTGTTACCAATTCAAATAAACCTAAAAATCCCAACAGTGGCCAAAATACAAAACAGCAGGAAGATCCAATTCCTGGGAAAGTGAACTTTCATTCATTGTGATACACCCGTGCACACGCATGCGCTCTCTCTCTCTCTCTCTCTCTCTCTCTCTCTCACACACACACACACACACACACACACACACACACACACACACACACACACACACACGTCACTTCATACAAAATCTAGCAATTGCTTTAAGTAATTCCAAAATTTTGCTTCCATAAAATTTAACTTACCACAAAAACCTGCACACAGCAGTTTACAGAAGCTTTATTCATAATCATCAAAAACTGGAAGCAACCAAGGAGACCTTTCAATGGGTGAATGATTAAACAAACTGTGGGCCTCCACAAATGGAACAGTAAGTGATAAGAAAATGGCTAACAAGCCATGAAAAACCATGGAGGAGACTTAATGCATACTGCTACCTGAAAGCAGCATTTTGCAAAAGCTACATACTATGATCCCAATTATGTGACCTTCTGAAATAGGCAGAAACAGTCAACAAAGCACCAGTGGTTGGAGGGGAAAAGAGAGGGGAACCTTCAGGGGCTAAAACTATTTGAATGATTAGGTGCCTAAGATAGATGCACTTTTTTGTTATGCATCTGTCAAAACCCAAGGAACTTTACAAAACAAAGACTAATCCTTAATGTATGCTAATCGCTTTTTAAAGATCAGTAAAGAACTGAGGCTCCCAGTGACAAAACCACCTAAATGAATTACAAATGTATGCAAGGACAAGCAGGTGGTGGCCTCAGGCACTTAGGAAATGAATAGAATCAGTAACTCTAAACATAAAAAGGACTGTGCTTATCACTGGACTCCAGGGGGTCCAGTTAATGAGTCTGCCCCAGCTTATACACGTATAACGTAAGTAACAGTCATATAAATGACTGGTGGGTGGTGGGGAAAGTTTTCTCAACTTTAAAGTGGGAATTTACTCATGAAAAGGGAAAGGAGGCAAGAATGAGGCAAGTGGTGGAGGGATTTTTAACTGCAGACATCAGCAATAACTCTGTTTAGGTTAACACAAATTCAGGGAGATAGTTATAATCCTCATTTCATACGTGTGACTTCTTTCCTTAATAGTACAGCATTCAAAAGATGAGAAACTTAAAATTACTTTAGTCAAAAATGGTCAAAGATATTAACAGTCACGATCATACTTCTAATACATACATTGTGCCGAGAACAGCACTTAGTCTTTGTGCTCTCCTTTCCCTAAAGCCACAATCTGGGTTTAAATAATGAGAACAACATTCAAAAAGAGAATTTCCCAGTAATACTTTTGAACGGTAATCCTTAAAATTCCCAAGGTCGTCAAAACAAGAGGAAGGTATGATGCAGGAAGCAGTTATTAATGCTGGGTCAAACACTAAAACAGATGTACCAGAGTCTCTATGCCTTGGGAGGGACTAGATGGAAACTGTATACTGAGGAAAGTATTCTGAAGGTTGGCATGACAGCTCAGAGAGTAATGGCACATGTGTCAAGCTCGATGATCTGGGTTTAAACCCCGTAGCCACAACTGAGTCCTACAAGCTGTTCTTTGACATCCACCCCTACCTGAAATAGAGAAATGTAAAAAACCTTTTCAACAATTAATTAGAGAAACTTTTAAACATTCAATTTTGTAAAGAAAAAGTAAATAATTAGCCAAGCCAGGAAATTATAGAATTTTTAAAATATTAAATTTTTAAATAGCATTATTGTAAACGAATATTAAATGGTATAAAGTGAGGAAGTTCTGGAAAAGCTACATACATATTGCATAATTTCCAATATATGACATTTTAGAAAAGGCTAAACTATAGAGTGTGTCAACAAATCAAAACAAAAACAAATTCTTTAAAATTGGTTAAAGTCACAAGAAGTCAAAGTGGACAATTAAGTGTAAGATAGAATCCTGGATAGGATCCTGGAACAGAAATGGTTCATCAGGGAGAAACTGAGGAAATGTGAATAAAGTGTTGTCTTTTACTTAATATATCAATATTGATTTGTACTCCATTAATGTTAACATAATGTGGAATACGGAAACACTAATATTCTCACAACCATTCTGAAAATCTAGTTTCTAAAATTTACTAACAACAAAAGAAGCCCTGCCCCCAGGGTTGGAGGGTATTTTGATGCTAGCCTGTTTCTTTAAATGAGGCAAGACCACCTAAGGATAAGGAATAGGAAAAGCAGCCCTGGAAGAGGGGGAGAGGGAGGATGGGGGGGGGACAGGATGAAAGGAGGGAGGAAAGAATAGGGAAGATGAAAGGAGACTATGAGAATGAATGATTATCTGCCAGTGGAGGCTGGGAAAATGAAATGCCATCTTCTGAAACTTACTAGGTCTCATGCCTGTGGAAGGGCTTTCAGCATCGGCCAGGCCCAGCCTATACAATCTGTCCCTAGGGTCCATTCCAATAAGCTATGTGTGAGTCAGGGCTACATTCCAAGTCTGTGACCCCAATTGTCTCTAAGCACTGTGAAGTTGGAGAATAACCAAATGCAAGCCCGGATATCTAGTCCAAAGTATCCTAAAAGGTCACTCTCAACAAGCTTAAGATGAGTGAGCCAGCTCATGGACAGGGAAATCAAAACCATAACATGAGTACTGATCAACACTTAACTCACTAATTTTATATACAGGTGACTTCAGGGGAGACTCAAAGAGGGGAGAGGACATTTTGTGGGCTAAGGGCAAAACCAACCCTCTGTAACCAGCAAATAGCTATGGTGCTGGGACCCACTTACCCCTGGTTTAAATGATGGCAGGCCCAGCCCCACACCAATAGTGGCCTTGTTAGGATTCACCACTGAATTATAGTGGATATTCCGGTGGTAGCTGACACGGATGGGTTCATCTTCATTTTGGTGAATTCCATGGAATGTGTTGATAGGTTCTGCAGAGAAAGAGAAGGAGGGAGCATCCACAGGGGACCCAGTATGGTTGGCTCTGATGAAGTACCATTAGTCCCTCACCTACCCACTACAGAAGTACCTGTGCTGTATTGATACACCTCCACAGGACGGTTGTACATCTCTGCCATAGCCTGCATCTCAATGTGGTTACCATGGCAGTTGTTTTTCCTCTTCCTATTGATATACGTGGTGAAATCTTCGGTGACATAGTTGGAGAAGTAGTCAGCATTCTTCATCTGTGGAACAGATTGAAAAATTAAGGTCTATGTGCAAAGGAGATTAAACTTACCCTTGTCCTGTCCCAAGGCCTCCCCAGGATCTCACCAGATAGTCCATGCAATGCTTTCGCACAACCTCGTGCATATCCTGGTCTCCATACACCTGGTCAGCTGGGGGTGTGGGAACAAAAGAAAAGAGAGGATAGAGTCAGAGCTATTACCACAAGAATTCTGAGTCAGAACATCACTTATTAGGGGAAAGATGGGCTGAGGGACTAGGGAAACTCCCTTTTATATCTATGGCAAGCCCCAGAGTTCTTTCATTTGTGTGTTGTAGTGGGGTGGTAGGAAATGGTTAAGCAAGGGCTGAAGATGTGCTGAACATGCACACATAAGCTAGGTGTGGCTGTGCATGCCTTTCTTTCTTTCTTTCTTTCTTTCTTTCTTTCTTTCTTTTTTGATTTTTTGACACAGGGTTTCTCTGTGGCTTTGGAGGCTGTCCTGGAACTAGCTCTTGTAGACCAGGCTGGTCTCGAACTCACAGAGATCCACCTGCCTCTGCCTCCCGAGTGCTGGGATTAAAGGCATACTACTTCAAGAATCTTGGGACCCAGGCCCAAGATTAAAGGCGTGTGCCACCACTGCCCGGTAGGTGCATGCCTTTCATCCCAGCACTCAGGATGTAGAAGTGGGATGATCAGAAGATTATATTCATCTATCTTCAGCTACAATGTAACTTCAAGGCCAGCCTAGGCTACATGAGACCCTATCTCAAAAGGAAAAAAAGTAACAAGGTCAGACAATCTTGAAGAAAGAGGGAATATAGGGTTGAACAGGTAAGTGTAGTTACAGTGAAGGGCCAGCAAGATGGCTCAGTGGATAAGGGCACTTCTTCCAAGCCTGATACCTGAGATTCACATGGTTGAAGGAGAGAACCAACTCCCTTAAATTGTCCTCTGACCTCTACATGAGCCTTGTGGCATGGAACCACAATCTCCACATCCAGCAATAAATAAAAATGCAGTAACAAAAAGTTTTAAAAAGAACAGTACAGCCACATCAGAGGTATTTCTGGCAAATGAATTTGTCACTTAAACAAACCAACAACCTATGCCTCGTAAGTGGCCTCAGGCACCAACTATTCTATATTCCTTTCTCAATTTTTACTTGAGGAAACTGAGGCTAAGGGAAAGTCTGTGGCTTATCAAAGGTAACAGTGTGGTGACAATAGCAAACTGGATGTTTCCTCAACAAGTAAGCATGGCCTTTGTAAATTAAAAAAGAAGGGTAGTACCCACCTATAATCAAGTCTGAGACAAGAGAATTGCCAAGGTCAAAGAGCCTAGATCTCATAGTGACACTCCATTTCAAACCAAACCAAACCCTACATTCAATGCCTAACACCACCACCACCAAAAAATAAAAATTAAAAAAAAAATACAAACCATCCCACCCCACCATGATTAGAATCTTTTTTTTTTTTTTTGAGACAGGGTTTCCCTGTGTAGCCCTGGCTGTCCTGAAACTCTGTAGGCCAGGCTGACCTTGAACTCACAAAGATCTGTATGTCTCTGCCTTCTGAGTGATGTGATTAAAGGCATGCACATCCACCACCAGGCTAAGATTAGAATCCTTAAACAGAAGAGAAAAACACTTTAAATTCTGCCAAATAGTATCTAGTGAAGTAAGTAGCCAGAGACAAGTGACTCTCTGAGCTTCCTATGCCTCCTCTGAGAAATGGAAACCAGACAAGTATGACCTGGCAGGTCTCTTGTGGACAGTGAGTGTAAAGTGGCAGAACCCCTCTATCACCCAATGTACCAAAGGTGTACACAGACTGATTACACAAGACCTCCATTGAAGGTAGAGAGCAGCTCACACCTAAGCCCACCGCTGGCTCAGGGCCTGATATAGCAAAAGAAACTGGGTATAGTTTGCTGAGGCACAGGAAGCAAGAGTTTCTTCTCCCACGTGAGTCTGAAAATTAGGCAAGCCTGACTTTCACTGGCTGCCCTGAAAAGGGAATTTCCCTGTGTTTCCCCAGAGGTTCATCGCTCTGATGGGATCCCCCTGGGCATAGGGGAAAGGGATGCTAGGAATGGGAACATGCCCACCAGTCAGGCCTGGCAGTCTACTTCTCTGAAGACTTGCCAGGTCTCCACCACCTTCTGATTTCCCTCCACATGGAATGGAAACAAAAGGCTGCACTGAGATAGAAAGTGGGCAGCTCCAACAGCCTCAAACCATCCTAGAGGTAATGATACCTGAGGGGTGGAGAAGGGGCTGTGAAGGCAGGAAGGGGTAGTCCCTTCACTGATGTAAACAAGGATGTGGCTTCTGTGGCCATACTCCCCCCCCACACAAGCACTTCCAGCAAGTCACGTGTCTTGCATACAAGCTGGGGGTGTGGGGTGGGGGCTGCTGCTACCTTTCTTAGAAGCCGGGACCACAGAGGCTGCTGTGGCTGCCTGGACTGCTAGAGGAGCTATTTCTGTAGGCTGAGCTTGAAGGCAGTGCAGTCTACAGCTGCTATCAACAGGAACTCAAATGGGAGTGAAAGGGTTAAATAGGGGTGGACTACCAGGCTCGGTGAGTTGGGCTGAGATAATGGGGAATAAGTATCTACCATAGAAGATAATTTACAGGCCTGAGATCTCTATTTGCCAAACCCAGATGTCAGATTTGGGGAAAAAAGGGGGGGGGGCGGGGGACAGGGTCTTTTCATCTCGCCTTTATCTAGCATAAAGTTCATGCCAACTCTTAGCTGTGTGTGGCACTGTACAAGGCCTTTCATCTCTGGGTTGAAATGTCTTCATCCATAAAGTGGGGACAGTAACTCTTCTTCCACTTAAAATAGTATTATAGAGACTGTAGAGAACTGGCAATATATCTCTGTGGGAGAACATGGGGTGCAAGGTTCACTCTCCAGTACGGGGATGGGACTACAAGGGAAGGTTTGTCAACTATCTGAAGCATAAACAGTGGTCAAGAAACAGGCACTCCAGGCCAGGTGTGTCAGCATGAACCTTTAATCCCTGCACTCAGAGGAAGCAGAGGCAAGAGGATCTCTGAGTTCGAGGCCAGCCTGGTCTATAAAATGAGTTCCAGGACAACTAGAGCTATGTAGAGACCCTGTCTCAAAAACAAAACAGGCACTCCATTTGTCATGAGGACAGCAACTCCTATCATATTGTAAGCTACCTACCAGTCAGCCAGAATGCTGAGAAGAATTGCTTATTAAGCCCTTCCTCATTTCTGTTGCACTTCCTCCACCACAGGAAAGCCCCAAATGCAGAAAGGAGGGTATCCCTTCTATTACAAGCACTGCTAGCTCTCTTTACAGAATTCAGTGCCTTTGTTCAAAACTCTGACAACCAAATTTCTATCAAACTAATAATACTGGCTTTCTGTGTAGGGTCCTTAGGTACAGGCAAGTTACAGTACTTATAGATTCAGCCCAGCTTTGTAAGGAGCAATCTTGCACTGATTATAAACTGTTCCTTTATTTTTTTAGTTTCAGACACTTGTAGCCCAGGCTGACCTCAACCTCACAACAATCCTCCTCCTTTGGCCTCTAAGTGCTAGAATTGTAAATATATATACACCATACTCGGTGTATAATCTTAATTTTGTAATTAACATGGAATAAAATATGCATTTCTAGACCAAGGAAATAGACATCATGAGAGGAAAAAAACCTTCGATGTTACAGCCAAAGCACATCATAACATGAATTAGCTTAATTTTCCTAGCCCTAACACTTCTGTATTTAGGAAAATTCCTCCTCTTCCCAGATTAGCATGTGGGGGCAGGATGGACTTCCCTGTGGGGGGCCAAGGTGGGAGAAAGAGTGGCCCACTGGACCCACAAATGCAGGGGGAATTCAGAGAAACTGTTTTGACAGAAACTGAAACTCCTCCTCTTGCTAACACTGCATTTGGCCATATGCACCTGTTTTCTTCTTCCATGGTCCAGCTTGAAGGGTATCCCCCACTATATTCCACCTCTGTTCCCTTTCTAAGCAGGGCTCACAAATTCTCAGCACAGTACTGTTGTTAATTCTACTACAGGCTTTTTAAACAACTCATTTGATCCTCACCAAACAACAACAAAAAAACAAACAAAAACTTACACAGGGTGGGGAGGCACTGATACAGAAATAGCATAGCTAGTTCAGGATCACATATTTATCGCATATTTGGCATCAAAGGTGGAAAGGCACCAACATCTGGTCCCAAGTGACACTTTCCCATCCCACCTTATGTCCCACAGCCACCTTATTTTCCTAGGGATACGTCTGCCCTGTCTACTCCAGTTTCCCTGCTAGCACAAGGAATCAGTTGGAACAGGGGAAAGGCCCAAAAGTGAGCAGAGATAACAAGCAAGTATCAGGGACTGCACACTTCTCTAGATTCAACATGAACCTTCCTCCCCATGCACGTAGTTTTCTCTGAACATACAAGGATACTCACATAAAGGTGCACATATGTACCCATATGCAGCCCATAGGGCCTCCAAAAGACTGAAACCTTTGAGACTAAATACCCACATGACTAATTCCACAACACAGAACCACAGCATACGGTGAATACATGCCCTTGTCACCAATCAGGAAAGACTGAAGACTACACAAGATGTGAGGCTGTGCATACTCAGGAACCCATGTCACTTCCTTCCCAGCCTTTGCTAGGGATAGGTGGAAGAGGGATGACCAACCATCTCTAACAAACTTGTTTCATCCTTCTCCTATGCTACTGCAGAAGTCCTCCCTCCTCAAGCTCCCTAAAATGTAACCTGCATTTGCCCACACAAGACATAGAGAGATTATTCTGCTCCTCAACCCCTGCTGCAAACAAGATTATCTTTCTGTATGTTTATGAGTTTGCCTGCATGTACAAATGTGTGCCACATGTATACCTGATGCCTACAAACAGGAGAGGGCACTGGATCCTCTGGAACTAGAATTAAGGAAAGTTGTGAATCACTTGATGAATACTGGGAAACCAAACTGAGTTCCCACTTACAAAAGTGGCAAGTGTTCTTAACCACTGGGCAAACTTTCCAGACCCACTACTTTTCTTTTTTTATTACTTTATTGTTACATTTACTATCTATTTTGCACATCTGCATGCTCCAGTACATATATAGATCAGAGGACAACCTGTGGGAGTCTATTCTCTCCTCTCATTACGAGTCCTAAGGATTCAACTCAGGTTGCCAGGCACAGCAACAAGCACCTTTGCTGACTGAACCATTTCACTTCACTGATTCAAGTCCAGATTTATTTGTAAAGGGCAGTAAATACAGGATCCTCCCTTGCTTTGAAGGGACCTGGAAACCACATACCCCTCATGCTGCTGCCTGACTGCTTTCCTACCATTATGTTCTGCTAAAGACAAAAGAGAAAGCTTTGAGGCTATGCAGAGGGCTCAAGAGGTAAAGGCACCAGCTGCTAAGCCTGACAACCAGAGTTTTATCCCTAGAACGCATAAGTTTTTCTCTGACCTCCATATAAACATACTATGGTGTACACACACACACACACAATTAATAAAGGAAGCATGGCTTTTGTGGAGAACCTAAAAACAAACCACACAAACGTGGGTGCACACAGCAGTAAGGGGCAACAGTAACCTAGTCTGCTCTCCACTGCCCCCCTGCTCCTGTGGGAACCCTGGCTCCTGAGGAAAAAGGAGCCAGGAAAAGGTCCCACCCACCTATCTAGCAGCCATGGTATACACACCCAACTGTTCCACTGGTACAAACTATGGGCAAGACACATGACCTCAGAACCAATCTGAAGTATATGCTTTTCTGCTTGAGGGTTCCCATGGGAAAATGGGAAAACACAAAGACACTGAGCACAAGAGAGGTCAACGAATACAGGTGTACAGGAAATAGCACAGAGAACTCTCCTGTGTCTCGATACACTCTCAAACACTGATGCTCTGACATGCGCTGAGTGACCTAGATAAAACAGGGTCCTGGCTTTCTCATGAGGCCTCAGTTTCTCATTTTATAAAGCTGTCAACTCTAAGGTCAGGAGGTGGTGGCACACGCCTTTAATCCTAGCACTTGGGAGGCCAGAGGCAGGCAGATTTCTAAGTTTGAGGCTAGTTTGGTCTACAGAGTTGAGATCCAGGACAGCCAGGACTACAAAGGGAAACTATGTCTCAAAAAACAAAAACAAAAAAGCTATCAAAACTAAATAACAAGGGATGGTGGCAATATATTTACAATCCTAATATTCAGAAGGTTGAGACACTAAGAGTGTCACAAGTTCAAGGCACCGAGCCACCTGATCTACCAAGAAAGTTCCAGGCTAGAGTGAGACCCTGCCTGAAAAAACAATTATAAAAAGCAAAATCTTAAAAATTACCTAACAGCTATCCTTTCCAGTGCTAATGATCCATGTTCCAAAACGAAAACCAACCAGAGAAGGGGGCCGGGCTATTATTTCTGGGCCATAACACACAGCCCCAGCTACTCTCTCCTGAAGCCTATGCAGACACATCTATGTGGCTTCTGCTTGGCCCAAAGGCTAGCACCACTGCCATGGCCAGGCTGAGACGTTTCTGCTGAGTCAAAGCCAAATGGAAGAAAAGGGAGTCAGGCTCATGTTTCTAGGAGGAGGTTATCTGAACACAGCAGGGACAGGGTGAGCCACAGGATACCCACCTCCACCCAAGATGCTCATAAATCTCTAGGAGGTGCCAGGGAGAAATGGGTATAAGCAATAGATATTGGTTCAAAAGTACTGTCCGATGTCAGTGGCAAAACAAAGGACAGAAAACCACCTGCCTAAGATTCTCAACAATGGAAGAATAAATTCTTCTAGCTGGAAGAAGGAAGGGTCCAGAAAGATCAAAGAACAAACTAAGAAGCTACAGCAGTGGTTCTCAATCCTCCTAAAGCTGCAACACTTTACTACAGTTCCTCATGTTGTGTTGACCTCCAACCATAAATTCATTTTTCTTGTTACTTCATAACTGTCATTTTGCTACTGTTGTGAACTGTACTGTAAATATTTGTGATTTCTATGGTCTAAGGCGACCCCTGTTAACAGGTCATTCAATACCATGGGGTCACGACCCACAGCTTGAGAACCGCTAAGCTAGGGCCTCCCTAGTATCATCCTTTGGACATCTAAATGTTTCCATGCAAACTCTACCACTGTCATTTCCCTTTTCCATCCCTGGTAGTGCTAGACATCAACTCCAGGGTCTCCTGAATGCTAGTCAAGAGCTCCACTACTGAGCTACACCTTCTGCCTTCTTTTTACAGCTTCAACCCATTCTATTTCATGGGATAAGGAACCAAAATTTTCAAGAGTGTCTGAAGCACACAGATGAATGTGTGGCACACAGTAGGGTCAGGGAAACAATAACAAAGCGCCATATATGTGTGCAACCCACTCAATTCCAACTCTTCATTAATGTTCCCTCCATTATTTAATACATGATAGGAAGTTAAAGCCTGCAGGCCTTTGTAGAAAGCCTAAGGTGATGACCATCTGTCTCTGTATAAGCTAGGCTAGAAACAGGGGGACAGCAGAAAGCCTGGGGACAAAGTCCCCTTCCCTGGCACATGTATTGTGTACTCTTCACCAGGGAAACCTCTAGGAGGCCTAGAGACGAGGGGCCATGTACTTCAGGGGAGAGGCCATAGGACCTCTGAGGTTTTACAGAGAAAAGCTGAGGGCAGCCCAGTCAGGGGAAATGTGTAGCCATAGTGCTGATAAGGAAAGGCCTTCAACCTGCTGTGGTCAGCTCTTCCTGTATGCTTGGGCCCCTTACTGGAAGGCCCCAATTGGGGGCGGGGGAGCTAGATAGACACACATGTACAAAAATTGCTCTTGATGTGGGTTACTATTCATAACAGGTCCTCAACAGCCCCAAGCTGTCTCAGTGAACATCTGAGCCCACATGCTCAACAGTAATCTTGCTTATCCTATATACAGCCTGAGGTTAATACAGGGCATAGAAACTAATAGGTCCTCACCCTTTCATTCTCTACCTTTCTTTTATCCCCACGATACCTCCAAACCCAGCTCTTTCTATAGTAAATATCCCAGGAAGAAGATGACTTGAAGCAAGAAGAGTAGGAAGTTTGGAATTTTTCTCCAAACCCAAAGTAACCATTTACCTGAATAGTTTCTGCTTGGTAGAAGGGGTAAGCAACCATTTGTCCTATCTATCCCACAAATATTTCTGGCTCTGAGGCACAACCCAGAACAGTACCCAGGCTTTACCAGTGCTACTGTTTCATGATGACCTACTATGTATCAAGCATTAAGGGATTTACCAAAGTAAATCAAATCATATGGTTTATCCCATTCTTCAGCTAATTAAAGAGGGTTCAAAAAGAAGAATCACTTGCCCAGGAGTGGTACCTGATCCAGTCTAGCTTCTAACAGACATGAGGGGGTCACCCAAAAACTAAGAACAGACCCAGAAAGAACTCAAGGAGTCTTGGGAAGCACCATCATTTCACAGATGAGGAAACAGCCTAACAGAGAGACCCAGTCTCAAAAGAAAAATTACTAATTCATAGCTGTACATAGTGGTTCACATCTATAATCTCAGCTCTTAGGAGGTTGGAGCAGGATCCCAAGTTTCAGGCTAGCTTGGGCTAGAGAATGAGACTCTGTCTCACAAAAGGAAAAAAATGCTAGTTCTGACGGCAGTACTTTGCTTATGTTAAAAAGACAGAAGCCAATACAGATGTATCTTTTAAAGAAACATACAGAAATATTTATGAATGGAATGAACCTGTGTCAAAAGTTATACTGTAAGAATACTGTTTCAGGGGAGTGATAAAGAGTAGGCAGGGTAGTTATAAAGGCTACCTATTTTTTAATGGTGTGTGTGTGTGTGTGTGTGTGTGTGTGTGTGTGTGTGTGTGTGTGTTTGAGACAGGGTTTCTCTGTGTAACAGTCCTGGCTGTCCTGGACCTCTCTTTGTAGACTGGGATGGTCTCAAACTCATAGATGCCCACCTTCATCTGCCACTACCTAGCTATGTTCATGACTTTTTAAAGCTAGATGATTGAGTCTGACAGGGTTCACTATTTTCTCTATTTTTGTACAAGCCAAAAGAAAAAAACTAATATAGAAATGTATAAAGATCTAGATTTTTTGTGACAAGATAAATATATCCTTGACTGGCATGGAACCTGCTATGTAGATCAGGCTAGTCTTGAACTCATAGAGATCCACCTGCTTCTGCCTCCTGCATGCTGGAATTAAAGGTGTGCTTCACCACAGCCAGTTTCACACAGAATAGAGCCCTCCCCCAACACATCACATCAGATAAAACTCTCGGTACAAACTCTTACATACCAAAGTGACAACAATGTGATATGGTTAACCCAGATATAAAATCCTGACTACCACATACTTTTTGTGTAACCCTGGGCAAGTCATTCCCCACTTCTGAGACACTTTTCTCATCTGACAAGTAGAAGCAACATCAGTCCCCACTTTCACCTAAATTGTGGGATAATAAAAGGGTTTCCATGCCAGGTGGTAGTAGCAAACACCTTTAATCCCAGCACTTAGGAGGCAGAGACAGGCAGATCTCTGAGTTCGAGGCCAGCCTGATCTACAGGACAGCTAGGACTACACAGAGAAACCCTGTCTCAAAAAAAACAAACAAAAACATGAATAAATACATACATATATAGATGGGTTTCCTGTAGTGTTAGTAATGTTAGTCTCCAAGTCATTATTATTGCTATTATTATTATTCATTCAACACAATCCAAGACCAGAGGCCAAACACTAACATTAGGTTAGTGCCTGGATATCCTAAAATACCAGCTACTTAGCTCTGTCTCAATCCTGTTTTAGGGGCTGTTACTGACAACTGGGACATGGCTCAGAGGCATCCTTAAGCCTCCTAGCCTGCAGGACCAAGGCAGAGACTCACCTACAGCCCGGAATAGACAAGCACCATCCTCCTTCATCTGCTTGATTATGAAGCCTTTCTTGTCCCGTAAGGCCTTTTCAAACCAGTGTTCCTGCTGGAGGAAAGAGTGGGAGGTCAGCAACAGGGAAACCTGTACCCAGGAAAGCCTGAACCCTCTCTCCAGGGTCCTGCCCTCAATTTCTGAGAGAACCAGATGATTGTCAAAATGGATACTGGGAAATTCACAGCCCTTCTTGACTACTCTGTGACCACAAAGCAAGAGATATAGACACTGGACAGGAACAAGATTTAGCTGGGCAGTGGTAGCATACGCCTTTGATCCTAGCACTGAGGAAACAGAGATAGGTGGATCTCTGTGAGTTCAAGGCCAGCCTGGTCTACACAGCAAGTAGCTGTTACACAGAGAAACTGTTTCAAAAAACAAAAATGACTTAATCCTGGAGAGGTCCCAGATCCCTGCTCTAGATATTGCAAGACCTGGCCCAGGCAGCCAGAGGCCTAGACCCCATAAGTGCCTAGATGGAGAATGTGGTTCTCTATCAAAAAGTTTCGCACCCAGAAAAGATGCTGAAGAGAATAACCAGCTAGAATGTATATCTTAAGCCTATAAACATCTGGGGAATTCTAAGATATATTGTGTGAGGCAGAAAGTGAGCCAAGTATGATCTTAAGTGTGTCTAAACACACTCACATATACATTTACCATACATATACACAAAACTCTACACACACACACACACACACACACACACACACACACACAGAGAGAGAGAGAGAGAGTACAAAACTGAAAAAAAGGAGACAATAAATGCTATAGGTGATTTTTTTAACTTTCTTTTCCAATAAAGATACATAATTCTTAATCCAAAATTCCAAATCCCTAAATGCTTAAATCTTAAGAGACTTGAAAAAACACAGAAAACCCAAAGTCTTAATCTAATTCATGTCCCATCATAACCTGAACAGAACTGACATATACCCAGATACCCTACTTGAGGGTGAAGATTCAAACATTTTCTTTTTTTTTAAATCCTTTTAATTATTTTATTTTATGTACATTGATGTTTTGCCTGCATGAATGAATGTCTTTATGAGGGAATTGGATCCCCTGAACAGGAGTTATGGACAGTTGTGAGCTGCCATGTGGGTGCTGGGAATTGAACCCGGATCCTCTGGAAGAGCAGTCAGTACTCTTAACCACTGAGCCATCTCTCCAGCCCCGAAGATTCAAACATTTTCATGCAGAAACATTCAGGCACTTGGGATCATGAGGTACTTCTCCAGCCTCTGCTAAAGTATTATATAATACAAAGTATAAACACCAGGAGACTTTTCCAAATTCTGACTATTTTCTAAATTCCCATCACATTTGATCCCAAAGGTTTGGTTAAGTGAACCTATATAAACTCATACTTCCATATTAAAATAACAATGACCTTGACAGTTTAAGACATTTCCATTTCAAAATGAAACAGAAGCAGATCTTTCTCAGGCTCCTCACGCCCCCTGCTGGCTGCCAGAAGCAGACGGCTTGACCAGCAAGAATATGAAGCCTGCTCCTAGGGGACCTTACTCTACCTAGGAATTTACAGGGTCCCTGCTAAAGATGACTACAAAAGGACCATTTTTGTGTTTTCTTTTTTTCTTCAAAAGGACCATTTTTGTACTCCACTACAAGCAAAGGGTATACTCCACCCCCTAAAAAAAAAAGAGAGATCTCTGGCAGTGTGGGCATAGTGTCTGGAGGTCTAAAGCCCTGGTTTACTTTGGTTTTTGGTTGTTAGAGATAGGCTTTCTCTGTGTAGTCCTGGCTGTCCTGGAACTAAATCTGTAGAAAAGCCCTGGTTTTCAACCCAGCCAGCTCCATTACTGCATTGTTTCCTGGTTGTAGGAAGCTGCCTAAACTTGTTATGCCTGTTATAAAAATGGGAAACATTTGGTCTACTTGACACATCTATCAAGAACTTCTTTTGTCAGGACCTAAAGAGGCTCTGTAACAACATATACTGGTGAGGTGGTCACTAAACATAAAAGGAAGAGAGCAGCATAAAGAGATGATATACAATGGAGATACCCTCACAAAGCCCTAGGTGAGTGGCTAAACAGACTTAAGAAGGACCAGGGAAGACATAGGCAGCCCCACCCTCAGGGTCCACCCCATCAGGAAGGTGTGGCTGCATTTGCAGAGATGACAAAGGCACCTGTAAGCCTTTAATGTGCTTCCCTGGGCAGCACAAACACACCTGTTTGTGCACAACCTTCCAGTAGCCAGGTATGCCTCCCACCCTGGAGATTGTGCACTAGTACAGCAGCTAGTTACTCCAAGTTCATCCTTGCTTACATTGTAAGCCATCTCCTGGAACCACAAGGGGTCCATCAAGGGGTGTCCAGAAGACAAACTTTTTAAAAAAATTAATTATTATTTCATTTGCATTGCTATTTTGCCTGTATGTATGTCTGTGTGAGGGTGTCAGATCTCAGGGTTACAGACAGGTATGAGCTGCCACGTGGGTGCTGGGAATTGAACCTGAGTCCTCTTAAAAAACAGCTAGTGCTCTTAACCACTGAGCCAGTTCCCAGAAGACAAACTTTTAACTATTATACCTGATAGAAAGGGAGAACAGCAATCTCCCAAGTATGAGAGGAAGATAGAAGAATGAGAAGAGAAAAGGGGGCTCCTAGTTAATCATCTCCCAAAATATGACTCACCTTATGCTGGACAATGAGAACAGAAAAATGAATCAGACTTGTCTCTATCATGATAAACTGTGGGGGGCGTAGAGAAATAGGCAATGACCACACATAGTATGAGTGGGACTGCAAAACAGATTAACACTCCCTGGCTTTTGCAAAACAGAAAGAGACCTTACCCTGACATTAAGGTTGGCACTTGAGTAAAGTATTAAGACCCCAAGACCTCCAAAATGCTTGATGACTGGATGAGAAACTCATTTCTGTCATTAAGCACCAGAGATGCTCAGAGCCTGGCAACATGTACAGTAGAGCAAAGATGCAAGCAAGACTAGGCAACTAAACAGGGAAAAGCCAGGAAAGATAAACTCATATTAGCTGAGTGCTTTGCCACATGCCAGGTACCAGATACAAAGGTGACCTCATTCAATTGTCCTCACCACAACCCAAGTGGCAGGAAGCATTATCCACATTTTACAAAGGCAAAAAGGAGCTGCAGTTTGGGTACTAGCAAAGCCTAGTAGTATAGCAGCAACACATGATGTGCCATGCCCAGTGACACATACCCGGCAGCAAGTCCTGGGGAAATTCTGACTTGTCCCAAAAAATAAAGGAAGCCTAAATAGACAGACCTTTTGCATAAGTGAGTGTGGGTCCTAAGGTAACTGGATGGCATCTAGGCCTACATCCAGGGGATGGATCACTAAGCATCCACTGGCCTTGGCACCCAGTATAAAAAGCTGTAGCTTTTCGGGCTGGAGAGATGGCTCAGAGGTTAAGAGCACTGACTGCTCTTCCAGAGGTCCTGAGTTCAATTCCCAGCAACCACATGGTGGCTCACAACCATCCGTTATGAGATCTGGCGCCCTCTTCTGGTGTGCACATATACATGGAAGCAGAATGTTGTATATATAATAAATAAATAAAATATAAAAAAACTCTAGTTTTTCCCTCTCTCCTTCTGGGAAGAAAATGTTTAGGAAGTGCTAGAGTGCTGAAGAATAGCCAACCAGTAGGTTTAGTCAGTATTGATATCCTGACCTGAATAGATCAAGTCTCAACTCTGAACTTTGCAAGTTCAAGGCCAAGCCTGGAGCAGAGTCTCTCGCTAACTCTAAGCCTTTGCAAAAAAGACTAAACAATGCTCTCCCTTCAGAGAGTTTCCAGATAGGTGACCTGAATGTGGGCAACACCATCAAATAGGCTGGGGTCTCAGGCTGAATAAAAAAGACAAAAAGAAAAAGCAAGTTGAGCATCAGTATTCTTTGACTCTTCCCTGACACAGCATGACCAGCTGTCTCACATTGCCACTGCCATGCCTTGCCCAATATGATGGACTGTATCCCCAAAATAAACCTCATGTCAGGTATTATGTTGCAGCAACAAGAGAAAATTAATAAAGTTGGTACCCAGAAGTAGGGTGAATACCTGATCACACAAATCTGTAGGCATTTGGAGGTAGTTTGCAGAGGAAGAATTTGGAAGGGTTTGGTTCTATGGGCTAAGAGAAGACCTAGAGTGCTAAAGTAGAGCTTGACAGTATATGCTGGTAGGAATGTGGAATAACAGAATACGGACAGAAATGTGAACAATAAAGTCCTGGTTAAGATCTCAGCTAGGTACAAGTACTAGAGGATGTTTGTTTTACATTCTGGCAAAATAATCTGGCTCATTTCTGCCCACCTGATCATTTGAGTGAGTCTGAATTCAAAAGTAATGGACTAAGTTGCTTGGAGAAAATCTGAAGTCACTTAACCTCTAGGCTGTAGTATAGTTATTAATTACTGTGGTTATTATTGCATTAATCCATTGAGAAAGTACAAAATATACAAGATGTGGAAAATGTACAGTTTGGTGAAGAAAATAACATCAACCAGGTTAAAGTATTAACTGGGTATAGTAGCTCATGCTTATAATCCTAACACTTTTGGGAGGCAGAATCAAGAGGATCAGGAGTTCAAAGATAGCCTCAGCTACATAGCTAGTTTGAGGCCAGAATGGGTTACATGAGAACCTGCCTCAAAAAAAGTTATGGACATAAATATGCAGTTTGAAAAGAAAAGCAGCTTGGATGCCTTAAAGTTGAAGACAAGTATGGACAAATTGGCTAGAAGTGTAATGAAATTTGTGCAATTAAGGAAAACATTAATATATATCCATCCTCGAGGGCAAGATCCTACCCAGGAAGGACAAGTTTCCAGGCTATAACACTGAAAATTCAGTTGAAAACATGCACATTGAAAGGACAATGCAGGGGCTGGAGAGATGGCTCAGGGGTTAAGAGCACTGGCTGTTCTTCCAGAGGCCCTGAGTTCAATTCCTAGCAACCACATGGTGGCTCACAGCCATCTGTAATGAGATTTGGTGCTCTCTTTTGGCCAGTAGGGATACATGGAGGCAGAA